TGCCCTATATGCCCCCCCCCCAACAAAGGCAGGGACCGTAATCAGGCTCTCCGCAGGGTCTTCGTGCCGGAACCCAAGCGCGCTTTTCTCACTGTCCTTTAAACTTTCACTTCCCGTCTCTGTGATTCAAGGCGGTGGTCGTTTACGATCTGATATCATACAGCTGCATTTTTCTAGTCCTGAAGTAAGCGTAATTAGTCCACTAGTGCCGTACTCAACAGCTGGTTTTTCACTAGTCCGAAGTCTGTTTTTGTGATTTCATGCATACCGCCTAGTAGCGTGACAAGTCGGTTCGAGCAAATCGTGATTGTTTGTTTGAAATAGTTTTCAGAGGAGAACATAGAATGAAATCAGTCGCTGCTCAAAGTCTAGCTTGAGCATGCGCCTTCGTGGCACAGTTACGATTACCTTTTTTTTTTCATTCTCACTATGCCGTTGTGGAGGGGAGAGTTTTGACCAAATGCAGCACTTCAAAGTGATATCCCTTAGAATTGAGCGCATACTACAAAGAGAAAACCAGACGAACCAATCAGAGTCTACACATCATATGATCACTACTAGAAACAAGATAATCATCACGCAGCCGCCCTCGATTGGAGTTAGCCTATTGATAAATATCAGGTTGGCAATTCAGTAATGCAACTTTTCATAACTTTTTTCCTCCAGAAAGTGTAGGAAGTACAAACTTACAAGATGTTTTTTTGTTATTTTGCGGTAGTCTTCCCTATTTATGAAATCGAGAATTCGATCTCCCAACTTCCCGAAACTTGCTACTGTAGTAGTCATTACTTAACTGTCATTTTCTGCTTGTGGTGTTAAGCGGAACACATAAAGATTTTGTAAATGCGTTAGACCTCAACTTGCAAGAAATGGCAGCTGAGAAAGTGAGTTCATCACCTAGGAAGTCAGTTGAATAAAGATTTTGGGGCTGCGGAATGGAAAGTTGAGGGAGAAGAGCTGACAGGGGAAGCGTGTTCGAAGTGGCGTTCTTGAATGAGACCCATACCCCTTTGAAGAGTACTGCACGCTGGCTCCAGATCTGCCTTCATTATCTGCCCAGCGCTTCTAGACGCCGAGTTAGGCTGGGTTCATGCTGGTCTGCAAGTTTCGGAATAGCTCCAGCACAGCGCTCGAATTGTATGCTGTGTTGGAACTGTTCCGGAACTTACGGATCAGTATTAACCCAGCCTTATGACCGTCTTCTGGATCGAAAAATGAATGCAAAATTCAAAATGTATCCATTAAGAGCTGCTCTAAACCTCGACATTGGACGAGCAATGGGAGATTTTGTTTCAGTTCGCGTTCAATTTCTTGACCTGAAAACGCCCATAACTCGGCTTCCATAGGCACTTGGCAGATAATGATGGCAGATTTTGAATAGTGTCCAATGCTCTCCAAAGCAGTATAAGTCTTATTTGAAACGGCCACTTCGACTAAACAGGTTCCCTTGTAAGCACTTTGGTTCGAAATGCCTTTGAGAGATGGAGGTGGCAATTTGGTCCAGACCTTGACAAAGAGAATTTTTTTCCTACCGGGAAATGAACAAGGAAAGAAATCTGCGTGTGCATTCGCTCATGAAGCGATCAGAAGTCGCAGTTTGCCAAGTTTTCCTTGGAGAGTTGCCGAGGCGACCGATGTAAGATTGCTTCTCCCTTTCATTCGCTTAGTCCAAAACTATAAAGATCCGCGACTTGTGCATCTAGAGATGTGCGCGTTGAAGTTTCATTTTTTTGAATTTCGTTTTTTACGAGTGGAAAATTTCTATTCAAACATCACTAGGTGGCACTTTGCTAGCTCTTATGGCATCAAAAAGGTGTTATTTGAGGTTTTAATGACTTCGTACCGAAGTTCTCACATATGCTCGCTGGACCTCTAGTACAGCAAAAACTAGGGAATCGCGCGCAAGAATCTCAGACGGAAAATGAAAGTTTAAAGGACAGTGAGAGAAGCGCGCTCGAGTCCCGGCACGAAGAGCCTGATTACGGTCCCTGCCTTTGTTGGGGAGGGCCATATAGGGCACCTCGGATAGGGATAGGACCTTTATCGTAGTGTTTTGACAGGGCCGGGCGAAGCCGGCAAAGCCAGCTAGTAGTAAGATATAATCAAGACCTTATAATAACGGGCTAAGGGTTGTTTACGTGTTTTTGTGTGTGTGTCTGTGTGTGTCCGTCTGTTACGAAATTGTAGAGCGTTCCAGCCAGTATTCTAAGCCCAAATTTTGCATAGTGCATGCTCCCTTCATGAAAGTCTAACATGCAAAAGCACGAGTAGATTCGTTGAGTGGATCCCTCAGAAATTGCGCGCCATTCGGATCCACCTGGCTTCTGTCCCGCAAAATTGGGTCCGTATCACCATTTTTTGCAAAATCGTGGGTGTGTTTGCTTAGCAAATGTGCAAACGATGGACTTTAGCCCAAAAAGGGTCAAAAGTTTACTACATAACGAAAACGGCGCCAAAAAAATTGGTTGCGTAAATGGTCAATTTGCCAAGGTTCTAGCCAAGCATTCCAGAAGATTTTCGCACAGAGATGTAGCTCACGATTACTATTGCCTTTATGGCGACTACCAAGCCATGACAAATTCAAAAACCTATTCAAATTTGCGTTTGTCTTCCTGTGAAAAGTTTCATCCACGCAAAACCACCGATCTCACGTGAAAAAACTTTTTGAATGATTAGTTGTTTACATTTTATTCGTGGTATCGGAATAGCGCGGTAAGTTCCAGTGCCACAATTCTACGAGAATGAGTAAGGCACATAGATAGTAGGGCCAGTGCGAGCCTCTGCGAAGCAGAGGTGACGCACTTTGTGCTATAAAATGCATCACAATAATAAACATCTTAACACAAAAGCCACGATTGCCAAGTGTTTTTTCCCTGTTAGAAAAGGAGTAGCACGAATACGCACGAATAAGAAACGGGGGAAATAATGATAGCTCGCAATACATGCAGATTCAATTTGGATAATAGCCTATTTGATTAAGCTAGTACGTTAGCAATATGTAAGGCAGTCGGAGAACTCTTCACCTTGTTTATTTGATTTGAACTCTGTTTTCGGTTTTTGTTCTGTTTACTGCTAGTTTGTCTCTTTGCTTGATTCTTCGTAGGGGCTATCTATAAGTAATAAGTATCTCTTTATAAACATCTTTATATGTTCTCATCACTGATGAATAACTAAAAGCATGAGCAAAAATGAGGACAGAATGTGGCTCGTTGTAAGCGTTCGATGAATGACAACATGGAGGGCGATTTACAAGCCGCAACAGTAATAGAAGAAAAACAAACATGATATCTTGAGGAGGGAACCCCGATTTAATTTCAAGGATCTACTAAAAATCCCAATGTTATAAATAGTCTTCCACCTCAAAAGAGCCGGTATGCGGGGTGAACATGAACTTAAAGGCAGCATCCCGGCAAATTTTGCATTTCCATCTTTTTGCATGTTTTGGGCCTTCTCGACCCGAAGATCCCGAATCTGAGCTTCAAAAGGGGTGAAAAGGCCTTTTTCGGGGCGTTTTTTTTCAATTTCCAAAAGGCAACTCGGACAAGAATTTTCAAATGAAAGTCGGGAGGCCTTGGCACGAAGACCCTGCCGCCTGTAATTTTGGCTTTATATAGCATGCACAATGCGGGAAAACGGGTGGGGCTTCCCGCGTCGTCTAGCGGAGAATACTCGTCCGAACAAGGTGTTAGGGGAGCGAAAGGAGGAAGGGGAGCGGCGCTTGGGCCGCCCCCTGGCTTGCAGAGTTCACATTTTCGGCGCGGAGTTGCTGTTTTGGTTCACTTGGAGGGCCTCCTATCCATCTGTGTCAAAATCTGAGGTAGGTCAATCTGCCGAGCCGCTGCCTTTAACACTGTCCAATATAAGCACCGGACACCCCATTGCAAAAAAAACCCCTGGACTTACCTACGGTGCAGCACTAGTGTTGAGCCTTGCTTATGTGTAGAAGAAATGAGAGCTTCCTTGGAAGTTGAATTAAGAATGAAACTAGCGCTAGAGAAGTTGCTGATAAAGCTCAGGATTTGGGCAGCAATACAGAATACTCAGTAATTTGAAGTGCACTCGTTCAAACATGCACCCGTTCTTCGGGACAAAACTGCACCAAAATCGGGACAAAATGCACCAAAATCGGGACCAAACTAAAATGATGGCTCCCGCCGGTGCAACGGATTTTGGTGCGACTACTTACTTTGTGGGCGGATCTCCTGCGGGAGTTAATGGCGAGTGTCTGATGTGAGTATCTCCAATTTCAGCATCTGGTTTCCTCGTTCATTTTTACTCAAACTTTCTTCGTAAACATGAAACCAGATTCATTCATTCATGGTTTTTCGTTTCTTTTCTTTGATATGGATCCCTCATGGCCTTATCTCTCATTTATACTGGTGCGTAGCTTTTTACAGCTTTCATTGAGACCTTGGTGTTCACAATCAGCACTGGTCTAATGTATATTTTATGAGTCTATCAGGACTCCGATTTATTGCTCAACCAGTTCTTTCTACTGGTGCTGAAAATCTCTATATTTGCGTGGCTATTACTTTGCGTTTGCAATAGAATGCTAGGCATAGGCACCTTACAGGTGTTATTCTAATTGTTGTTCGTCGACTTCTTTTGTTCGATCTGCCGTTTCATTGTTTTCGTGGATGCTTTGATAATAAGTTTTCTAAATGTTCGTAATTTTTTTCATGGAAGCCCTATCTGAGGCACACAGCGCTTTTGAAGGAGCGTTCGAGCGGCGCGGCTTCAGCGAGTGAGCCGCATGCCTTCCTACGGGCGCGTGAGGCATGAGCGCTTGCAAATTGAAGGCGGGCGCGTCGTCGGAGAAAAAGTGTCTGAGCTGTAGTGAAGTAATGTGGAATGGTTTGTAAGCAGTAAAATGGATGGGTGTATTTATGTTTTGAGTGTCAACTAAACTCAATGGTTTATTCATTAAACTCGCTGACGTCAATCATATCGAAGAACAACGAATAGCTTAACCGAGGTTGTTTGGTTCAGTAGTCACACTTCTAGGGAGGTGGCTTCATTCTTGATCTCCACCGCAGTAGGTACACACCATTGATCATAATTACCAGAAGATCTGTCACAGATAAAATAGTAATATTCACGGCTTTATCGTGAAAATTGCGTGCGACGCGCCAAGCGCAACTATGTCGGTACATCTTGCTGGACCTGAAGTCTGGTTTTTCAAAAATTTTCGAATCAGATGTGAACGTACGGAGAGAGTTGGGTTGTTCCATCCCACTTGAACGGTGGACATGCGTCAATAACGGCACCATCCTTATTGTCAGCACAGCAAAATCTTGGAGCATAGCATATGTGTGTAGCATTAAAGTCTTCTGTGGCTATGAATGAGCAATTGCGGATCCACCGGTTTGACATACGAAACGAATGCTGTCGCTTCAAAAATAACTGAAGTCGAAACTTCAACATTTTCTCACCAGGTTTGTTCCTTCCGAAGGTGGAGGGTAGTCGATTTGACGTTGTGTGTAGTAGTCATTAACGCTATGAAAACCACAGCACTTCAACTGGAGATAAAAGCGATTAGAAACGTTAACTTTCTTTGATTTGTGATTTCTGCATGTAAAGTGGCGATATCATCGACTTTCACTGATAGGTGAGGTGGAGACATGGGGATTTGTTCGCAACGTAGTTGATAATTCCGCTAGTATCATGAGTTAGGCAGGCGCTATACCCCTCGAGGAATATAGCGCCTGTTAGAGTGCATCATCAATTAATCAGGTAGGCTGTCTCCATGAGAGCGTCACATCATATTCGCGGCCGCCTCGTTCGAACATGAGCCGCGTTCGTATGTCTTCTAGGCATTTTTTACAGCAGGCCAGCCATCAGCTGCTCAAGGCGATGGTACATTTGTTGATACGTATGCAAAGCAAAAAGAATGCAAGAAACCATAAGCGGTAAACATCTTCGTGCGTACTTAATCCATTCACGACGACGCCTAATTTTGGCGGCGCTATGGGACGACGCGATTTTGCACAACACTTCCGGTGCGGGAAGGTTTTGTGGTTATTTACGAAATGAAACGTTGTTTTGTAAGCAACTAAACGTTTTTTTGAACGACGGAATTTACGGGTCCCAAAAGTGCATAAATTGGAGAAATACCAATATGTGGAAAAAATACTTGGCCTAGAAATAATATGACTTAAAAGGTGTGGGACACCGGTGATCCACATCGTCGTCAAGGGGGTTAAGGATATTCATTGCAAGCAGAGATAGGTCGTCACTGCGGACCGTGTCAGCCTCTCTCATACCTAACGCTGTTTCATTTCTCCGCCTGCTGTATCTTTCAAAATCGCACTATCTCAGTCTGATCCAACGGCGTCCAATCTTTGCGTGCGATTGCCCATAGCATTTCAAATCTCTCACATCATATTATGAAGGATGATGTACGCTAGACGGTAAAGTGTAACCTGTATTTCGCATGTGGTAGAAGCGCACATGTTGTCGTTACAGGTTTACTCAGCAGCGAGTATAAGTATGAGGTCGCCTCATAGGATGTAGCGTTTTTACTTTTGTCATCGTTTTGATGAAGCGGTTGCTTTGCAATGCGATAGTCACACTCTATGTCAACGTTGCGCTCCCTCTCCAATCGGCTCAAGCGCAGCGTTGGAGCCGTGTGCCGCGTTCGCGGGCGTACGCTGAGCGTGGAATTGCCGGATCGATCGGAGATCGCTGTGCAATGCCCAAGGGCTGCGATGCCTAGCGTGCAGACTGCGCCGGCAGCCACCGCTAGCCGCATTTAGCCGTTTTTGCGCACTATTCCAGTATTCTAAGGTCTTTCTAAAACTTTGAAAAACTATGCTATTAATCAGCATACCGAATAACCCCACTACACCAAGTTTGAGCAAGATTTGCGGTTTTGATATTAGCGTAATTATAGTGAATAGTGCACAAAGGCGGCTAGCGGCGGGTTATGAAGGCACTCTTATTTGCTACGGATAAGTGAACACGTGTTTGACACAGTTGAAATACCATGAAAATATCCTTGCTCTGTATCGTATGATTTTGTCCAATGCCCTTTGATAATGTGTTCGCGAAGAAAATTTTAGAGCCAAAAACGGCAGTTTCGGTACCTGCCTCCTCAGCTCTACGGAAATCACAACCAAAAATCTCCCTCGGAGTTACGAGTGTTCAGCAACCTCTATATATTACTAAGAAGCATTCAGAAGTAGAGATAATGTAAATTATCGTTGAAGACCTGAAGCGCGCATCAGTGGCAGCAGCGAAAAATAGCAACTATTGAGACTTCTTTGAGGCAGCTCCTAGCGTATTGGCGTGCCGCCTTTTATGCATAACTACGGCGTTATGGAGCAACCCAATACTAGCCAATACTTCCGTCACTAATGACGTGAGTGTGGGCAAACGTCGGAGTATATACGCAGACAATTCATTTGGTCCCAAGATCAAGTAACTCCAACAGTAGTCATCCGAGAACTATCAAATATCAGAAAACCTTACTACTAGCCAGAAACCAATAAGCAATAGCCAACGCCCCAGCAGTTATTAAAATATACGATTCTCTATGAATCCCGACATAGTGTTGATTTTGTTAGAGTTTTGAGCCTTGACTTAAGACTAGTAAGGCCTCGGGCAGAGTTCACGCGATTTTATCGCCGCGATTCTTCCAACATACAAACAGTTACGAGTCTATATGTCGATCATCTTGCTCGGTTGTGATAATTAGATTAGTCACAATTGGTCGTGTTGGAGAACTATCACAAGCGAAATGCAAGATAATCGACATGCATTAGGCCCCGGGCAGACTTCACGCGATTTGATCGTCGCGACTGAGTCGCGACGAGACAACTGTTACAACATCATTCCATGCCGATCAACTTGCATTCGGTTGTGATACTTTTCCAGCCCGAAATTTTTGAATGTGAAATGAAAATGAATGGAAATCTTGGAGATTTGATCGCGACGATTAAATCGCGTGAAGTCTGACCGGGGCCTTAGACCAGTAACTGTTTTGATATAATGGCTGGCGTTTCGGCAAGTCGCCTTCATCAGAGCTTGGAATCGAAAGCAATCGTCTCTGCAGCCATGAAAACGAGGCGCTAAGACTTTGATGGGTTACTAGCTAGCTGCCCAAACAAACACCTTTTGAACCACCGACAGAGTACTGATGCCAGAGCGAGTAGACTAGTCGGCGCATTATGCTATGACTACTTATAACGTCTCCGCCGGGTCAGAAGAGCTGGCGCAAGACGGTGCGAGTTTTCACCTTTGACGGATGGATATACATTTTTGTGGTTCATTTCAAAGCCTTTGGTGTTACTCAAGAGGGCCTATAAACACCTGCGAGCTGATGTTTGTGATTCATGCGCCAAGATTCTCACAGGAGCTTCATTGACTCCGCATCTGATCGCCCTATGAATGCCTATTGGGAGTCCTTTAATTTATCTCTGACATCTAAGTGTTTCTAGCGCGACGCATGTCCGTGCTGTCTTGCCTATGTGCTCATCGCCGCATTCCGCGCAGGTGTTAAGATGGATGATCACCCGTCGCCATGCAGTCCTCATGTCTGTCTCCGGGGCAGATAATGCAATTAGACGTAGTGCACGAGCTAGATAAATCGCAAATCAAATTGCTCCTAAGTGTGTTTAGAGCTGCCTCCACAACCGTAACTGTATTCTCCAACGCACACTTCCTCAATCACTGTCGAATCGCAGCGCTTACTTATGTAGGGAATGCAGAAGGGGATCTTTTCAGTTGTGAATCTGTCTACTTGAGTACGACAGTACTTTCCACTTAGCCCTGCTCTTTTACCAACAGTTTCATACCCGTTAGAAGCAGCATTTTCCATGCAAGCGTTAAGTAGGGAACATGGTGCGCAATACGCATATCACATCAGAAGTGACTTGACGATATATCGTCGATTTCAGATCAAAATAGGCGCAGCAACTCATATGCTTGGCGGCATTTGATTGCGGGAGATTCCAAGACAATGTTCTAGCGTAACGTAGAGGTTCAACAAGGTTATAAACCATATTAAATGTCCACTATGCTCCACCTCTATTGCAATCTGGGAGTCTATGGAATTCGTGCGATAAAGTTTCCTGATAGATTAGAAATTGTAAAAAAACCTGTTCGTGTAGAGTTTGAATAATGCTATTCAGAAATGGATCCTGTTCATGGATTGCTACTCTCATGAAATGCATCAGAAGATAGATATTGTCTTTGCTGACGCCTGCTATGTCATTCGGATAACGTGAGACGTCCAAGAGCACAAGAACTAAAATTTCGGTATACACATCTGCAACAACATTCAACAGCGCTTACAACTTCCAGAGAAAAGCAGGAATGCGATTGCAGTATTGGCTGCTATTCCACATAAGTTACTGCTAATGTTGATGCCGTACTGGAAACACTAAATAATTGTTCTTTGTTAGACTTTGACCATACATTACCAGTGTTGTGTTACCAGTATTACCAGTGTTACCCCAGTGTTACCTGTGTTACCCGTGTGTATGTATACTAAGCAGTCAGTGAGATTGTGTTTGAGAATGAGACCTTATTGGTGATCATTTCACTGCTCAACAGCAATGAAAACGGCAACACTAGTGAAACGAATAAGGCCCCGGTCAGAATTCACGCGACTTAATCGTCGCGACCAAATCGCCAAGATTTCCATTCATTTTCATTTCACATTCAAAAATTTCGGTCTGGAAAAGTATCACAACCGAATGCAAGTTGATCTGCATGGAATAATGTTGTAACAGTTGTCTCCTCGCGATTCAGTCGCGACGATCAAATCGCGTGAAGTCTGCCCGGGGCCTAACACGAGTAATGCTGGTCACACCGGTAACACGAGTAACACTGATAATGTATGATTCAAAGCCTAACAATCTGTTAGTGGTAATTAGTATCTTTGATGTTTTGTTACGCTAGGTTGTTCGGAAAATACGTCGCATCACATGCTAATGAGGCAGAGTGAACAAGAAAAAAGTAAATAGGGTGCAATGTAAATAAATGTAAATGTAAAAAATGTAAATGTCTGAATATAAATGTCTGAATTGCAACGCGCTTTATGTTGGGGAGACTGGAAGAGTACTCAGTACTCGTGTTAAAGAACATCTAACAGATAAAAAGCGTAAAACATTATCTTCAGCTTTAGGCAGGCATAGAAGCGAGGCGCATAATGGAGAAGACTTTGATATCAAGTGTAAGATCTTAGCTTGTGAAAAGGAGACCTCGGCTAGGAAAGCATCAGAGGCTTTCTGGATTTCTGCAAAGAAGCCAGAAATGAACAACAAGAATGAGTGTTTGTCGATAACCTCTGATTTTCTTCCGTTCATATCGTTATGCGGTCTATAGATCACTTTAGATTGTCATTTATGGTATAGTTTATTCTCCCGCCAGACCATCATTTCCGGTGCGGAGTACCATATATAGCGGTGGTCTTTTGGTACGCTCATCTTCTGTCCTGACGTTTTTATAAGAGGAAAGCTGAGCGAAGGTTGAGAACTAGCCAGACTAGGGGAGGTGTTTGGTGGCTTGGAGTCACGGATGACGTTTTGAACCACTTTCAGGCCTCTGAGGAAGACGAAGGCGTCGAAACGTTAGGCCGTGATTGGATTATAAAGACCATCTAAAAACCTGTGTGGCTCAGAACACTTGAAGAATACATATGATGCCCAGGTTTAGAGAAAGCGAAATACTTATCGCCGGCCGAGCCGAGGCCCACTCTCCGGCCGACCCGCAAGGGCTGCGAAATTCCAGCCTGTAATGGGTCGCGGCTCGTCCGCTCCCAGTGTCAGAGAATGCTGGAAATGCGGTAATTCACGGCAGACGGCCCTTCTGAACCGCTAGCATTAGCAGCCTAATTACTGCGCGCCTCTGATTGGTCGGTTCTGCTGCGGCGCTTGGGTAGGCGAGAGCTATGCTGTCAGGCATTTCCATGATAAAAAGAATTAGAATAATTTCGAGTTTTCCATGAATCTCAAAAATGTTATACGTGGGCAGCTTGAGTTCTTCAGCTTACACATGCAGACTTCATGATGTTTTGAAAGTGGGAAGGGCGAAGAAATCACGAAAGGCATGACAAAAAACATGCATCTTTTCCAAATTTTTCTTCATATTCAAACACCATCACTATCGTTACACGTGTGTCTCGCTTGCTTTGGAATGCTCAGAAATGTTTGAAAACTTTGATAGATTATAAAAAAGGCGGAGTAATTAGCGCCGCCAGGGCAGAGTAATTAGCGCTAGGACGAAGCGGTTCAGAAGGGCATACACCCGTAATTCACGGCAATGCTGTCAGCAGGCACTTGCTCTGTGTTACGCGGGAAACAGAAGGAAGTCGAGCATATATGCTGAGCCTTTAGAATTACGCACAAATTTTTTGCTAAGCCATTAAAACCCGCGGGGGCAAAGCTGGGCATGCCTGCTAGTATCGAACATTTTTTGCATGATTATTATGCTAAAAGGTTTGAAAATTGTGAGGTAACACCTTTTTGCAAACTAGTTCTTTCTCGACGCCACCAAACGACTGGATTGCCTTGAAGCATATATTTCTGAAAATTCACACCTTTGTAATTTTTCGGTCGTGAAGTATTTTCGGTCACAAATTTATTCTTGAGCAGAAAGACCGATTCATATCGCTGCCTTTCCTTTTTAAACTGCACAAAATTCGCTATGTTAGATACCGCACTTCAATTTGCCCCACTGCAAATGGTGACGTCTCCTGTTCCGAAACAACCAGTAGCGTTCGAATCTACTCGTTGCCTTATATGCAGCGTTGCGGGCTTGGAAAATCAGCCGCCCTACGAGAGAACATTTACAATACCTGGTAAATAAGCAGTACATTGATAATTGCCATGACAACACCACCAATAAATGGGAAAAGTCCGTACATCCTTGTTGAAGATGTCATCTTAAAAACTAAAGTTATTAGTGCAACACGATTACGACTTGAGCAACTTCAAAATATATCTCATCAAAATCTGAGCTTTATTGGCGGATAAAATCTCGCGTTTGGAAATTAACTACGGGGTCAATTCAGCGTTCCATTATTTTTAATATTCATACTGTGACGATTGTACCACTCCAGCGCACAATGTTGAATTAAAAGAGAATCTGTTTAGTGTGCTGATAGCAATCGAGCTCACAGCTTCAGTTTTAAACAGTGTAGACGGTGAAATAAGTCTGCGAGAGTCTTTTTGTCTTTATCATCTTCTTTTTGCATCTATTTTAGCCAATAAACTAACACTGGCAATAAGTTCTTCTAGAAATTCGATTTCTACATGAAGCTTCTGTATGCGTCTAGATATGTGAGTCAGCGCTTGTGATTTCACATAAATAGAGCAGATGATTATGCCAGCGGCGAGCATGAGCTGAAAGTGCTGTATAACTGTTTAATCTACTTTCAGATGTACAAGCCGCACCCAGCTTGCTCTAAACGCGAACAGACGTGGGCGTATCGCTGCGCGTGCGCCCCACAAAGTCGTCGCTCTCCCCTACTATTTGCACCGTTAACGCGCCTCAAGGCATGCATCCTTTGGGGCCATACCCTCAAGGCAATCAGAATGCGGCCTGTACACCAAGAATAAGGCAATTCGACGCTTGTTCCTGACCTCTGCTAGTTGATAGCAAATTGCGAGATAAACTTTGGGATGTCCTCGAACTAAACTGACAGACTGCTTGCCAAATGTCGGTAAAGGGGTCAGCAAAGGTGTAGTGGTGCTAAAAAGGTTCACTAAGCGTATTTTGAATTTGAAATAATTGAACAGAGATGCACCCGTTCGCCTTTGATGTTGATGCAGTAGATTGTGGAACAAGGAAGTTTTCTGAATGCAAACCTTGATAAATTTTTAACACGGTAACGCCCCGAACAGACTTCACGCGATTTGATCGTCGCGACTGAATCGCGACGAGACAACTGTTACAATATCATTCCATGCCGATCAACTTGCATTTCAGTTGTGATACTTTTCCAGCCCGAAATTTCTGAATGTGAAATGAAAATGAATGGAATTGTCGGCGATTGAGTCGCGACGATCAAATCGCGTGAAGTCTGTTTGGGGCCTGAAACGTACCGCCAGATTGCTTGACAATGGTGGCAAAGCCTGCAGGTTACCAGCTGTTCAATTCATTCAATAGACTTCGCTTTGTTATAAGTGCTGAAGGTTGCTTTATCACCAAGCAGCAGGAAGATAAAGAATGTGGAAGTATGGTGCAGTCTAAGAATGGAGGTATTGTGCTAACCAGCTTAGTTGACATCGTATCGGTAGTGAAGTGCAGCATGTGGAGACCATTTAACTATTTGCTCTGCATCTAGCGACACAGCCGCGAAGGCACGATACTGGAAGTAGATGATATTTGGTTCAACACATTAGGAGACTTGAAAACGCTCCACTGGCCCTTGCTGAGCCTAACTAGATGAAAAAGTTACCACATTTAAGTAGTAGCCGATATGATAAAGATAACTGATAGACATGAGTCTTTAGGGGGTAGGGGGGGGGGGGGGAGGGGGTGGGTGGGGAGCGAGTGGCGTTGTGAAAAGAGGCGCTGCTATGACCAGATCGATCCCAGGTTCGACCTCGCCCCTGGGTCAATCAAGCCCTCTACTCTACGGGCCGGTAGATTGGTACCAGAGTAACCTGGGAGGATAAAAGCACTGACTTGGTTATCGACTGGCCCCCGCCATGCCCCATCGGCTTTAGAAACGTCGAATCCTTTATCCCTTAATCTTTCAGACCCTGAGTTAGGGAACTGGGAGTTGACGCAGAAGTGATGAACAACTTCCTTTCAGATACAATATCCACCCAGGGCCCCCGCGTGAGCGCGGCAAATGGACACCTGTGGAACAAATTTTGCCTTCTCCGCACAGCTATGACAAATTTGGACCAAGGTTCATCCCGTCCTTAAGCCAAACCAACCAAGCCCTCTTGCGCGCTTTCTTCTCTAGGAGGCGACGTCGTTTTTTGTATCCTAACAAAGAGGAGAGAGAAATTGTAAAACCAAGATGTAACTACATAGTAGACCTTGGATACAGAACAGATTCATGTAAAAATTATATAAAAACTATGTAAATTGAAAGTTTTGCATTCTCAGCATGGCATTAGGATGACAATTGCCATCCTGGAATGATACCCACGAAAGTCCCCGCGAAATGGGCTTTTCGTGCTAATAAAATGGATCCATGCGATGCGATAAGATATCATTCGCGACTACATTCATTCCATACAAAACTTCTTCGGCAAACCTTCTTCGAACTTGCGTCAACCTGTTTATTCACTCTTGCAAACTCATTTCCCAAGTGGTCAATACCTAACTGGCTGACCTAGCATTACAATGACAGTCACATTGGTATTATATTTTTTCCCACTTCGTTACACCCCACAAAATGCCATTTATTATCGATGACTATGCATTTGAATCACTTCCAAATTTAAAATTCATGTAATATCTGAGCCTTCGCTTTTCAAGACTTCAATGACTCTGCATTAAATCAAATTCGCATGAAGAGCTTTCTGCAGAAGCAAACTTTGGCTAGACTTGCATTGCAATCTGTCAATTTGAATCAAAATGCTTACCTCTTGGAAACCTTGCACTACACTACGACCCAAAGGATTTTTTAAATCGAAAAAAACTATGTCTGCAAAAGATGACTTCGCAAATGTTCTACTTTAGCTCTTTTTTGTCTTTCAGCATTAATGTTTATATCTCTAAGTAGAAAGTCGAACTATTGCTAGTAAGAAATTTTTCACAGAATTTTTTCTTGCTAGCTAGGGGCACTTCATTAATTCTTGCGACCAAACTCAAAATCGGGGTTGAAATGTGCCGTCTTTGAGGTTCGGTTCTAGGAGATTAGTCAAAAGATAGCTTCTGAGTGATTATATTAAAACGCAAATCTTTTCTTATGTTCAAATACAAAGCATGAATTTAGTTTTTGTTGATGATTTGAAAAGTTAACAAACTTTATTTGATTTATATAGGAATTTTCGCACTCACCTGATATTTGGAAGCATTTGAGTTTGTAAGCAAATATTTTTGTGAATTAACCTTCACCGTGATTCTCACCATTTATAGCGTTTGTATGAATTTAGAAAGAAGCATGTATTTCAGACTTCACAAAAGACATAAAACTTTTTCTATTCTCTTATTACCTCAAAATAGGCTAACACACTCAGTTAAAAGTATGCAAAAAGGTCATAAATGGGCTTAGTCCCAGCTCACCTTGCTGCTGGGAGTAAAACGGGCTTTTAATCCATTTAAAATGAAGTACCTGGACTTTTCGCATGTTTCTTTCGCAAGCGAGAGCTCAAGTAGGGCTGAATCATTTTCATTACACTGCTTCGCCTGTGGTTGCGATGAGATGAAAATTTTTGGATAACGCTAGCGAAAGTAGATTCCGACCAGTTTCCGCGAACGAATAAAATGGAGTTTGGAAGTCCGTTTTCCTCCATTATGGACGTTCGTGGATATCATTCCTGATTTGGAAAAAGTTGAGTACACTCTTGTTCACTTAACTTTTTCATTTGACATACCCCGTTCCTGTTCCCACGTTCCTGTTCCCACTATGCATATGCGCACCCAGTTTGGAGCCATGTCGTTACCTCTGCGTTGCAAACGGGTCATGTTTTCAGCGATAAAATTTCTTATTGTTAGAAAAAAAGCTTGCCAAACCATCACTCACATAGTTTTTTCACAATCCTCTGCACTATGCTCCTCTTAGCCTTGTCAGTTTTTCCACAATTCTCTGCACTGTGCTCCTCTAAGCCATGTCCGTTTATACAGGGTGTCCCAAAAAAATGTTTCGAACGTTTGATCGTTAATATCTCTCTTCCCAAGAAGTCTTTTGCCTTGCTTCAGGTACCGTTTTGTAGAGCTGGCTTCAACTTAGATTTGCATTAGAGAACGAATCACCCAACTCTCTTCATTAGTGTAGGATTACGGTAGAAACTTGAAACATATGGTGTCAATGTGGAAAAAGCTGCCGTTTCAAAATTTTTCAAAAAGTTGTATAGACGCTGAGTTCAATACTCAACTATTCACAAGATTACGAAGCTTTCTAAACGGTGTAATCGCACTTTTTAGGAGCATTGAAAGAAAGGCCGCTACCTCTTACCTGGCATAACTCTTCAATGAGGCATTATAATAAGTTGGGAACATTACAGTTATAATCAGCAACTCTAATTAGCCTAGTGTAGAAGCTTTCAGGCTGTTTTGTTTCTTTTCTGAGGCATATGGCCTTTCATTGCTTAAAACCCTCTTTCAACTACCGTAATCCTACAGTAATGAAGAGAGATGGGTGATTCGTTCTATAATGCAAATCTAAGTTGAAGCCAGCTCTACAAAACGGTCCCTGAAGCAAGGCAAAAGACTTCTTGGGAAGAGATATATTAACGATCAAACGTTCGAAACATTTTTTTGGGACACCCTGTATATAAAATAAACCAGTGCGTCACTGAGGTGACGCACTGGTTTATTTTCTTTCTGTGCGCCCAACTCATTCAACATAATAATGACAATGAAACTCACCGATCCATGCAGGCTATAACGAATAATTTGTAAACAACTACTCATTCCTAGAGCTTTTTTGTGTGAGATAGGTATTTTTGCGTGGATGGAACTTTTCCGAGAAGAATTTGCGAATTTGAATCGTTTTCCACACTTTTTATGGCCTGTTAGTCGCCATAACGACAATAATCACCGTGGGCTACATCCCTGTGCAAACATTTTCTCAAACGGTTAGGTAAAACCTTGGCAGATTGAACATTTATGCAACTTAGTCTTTTTGGCGCCATTTTCGTAAATTAATTAACTTCAGTGCAATTGTTGGGTTAATGTCCATGGCTTGCACATTAGCTTGTCAAACATATCCATGACTTCGCAGAAAGTGTTGGTACCGGCCCAATTTTACTGGTCAGAAGCCAAGAGGGTCCGTTTGACGCGCAATTTCAAACGGATCCATTCAACGGGTCCGCTCATGCTTTTGCATGGTGTGCTTTCACGCAGATAACGTGCGCTATGCAAAATTTGGGCAGGACGTCGGCTAGAATACGCTCTATGAATTTCGTAATGGACAGACACACACACACACACACACACACACACACACACACACACACACACACACACACACACACACACACACACACACACACACACACACACACACACACACACACACACACACACACACACACACACACACACACACACACACACACACACACACACACACACACACACACACACACACACACACACACACACACACACACACACACACACACACACACACACACACACACACACACACACACACACACACACACACACACACACACACACACACACACACACACACACACACACACACACACACACACACACACACACACACACACACACACACACACACACACACACACACACACACACACACACACACACACACACACACACACACACACACACACACACACACACACACACACACACACACACACACACACACACACACACACACACACACACACACACACACACACACACACACACACACACACACACACACACACACACACACACACACACACACACACACACACACACACACACACACACACACACACACACACACACACACACACACACACACACACACACACACACACACACACACACACACACACACACACACACACACACACACACACACACACACACACACACACACACACACACAGCATCACAAATGAATCGTAAACAACTATTCATTCATGAAGCACCTTCATGTAAGATTGGTAATTTTGAGAAAAAAATTGTTTCAAATAAACAAATGCGAATTTGAACAGATTACTGCGTTTATTTCAGTTTGATAATCGTCATAAGGATAATAGTCACCTTGGGCTACATTTCAGTGCTAAAATCTTTTCAGTTTTTTCAAATAAAACCTTGCCAAATCGACTATCTACGCATTCATCACCTTTTGGCGCTGTTTTCGCAAAAAAGCAAACTTTTCGAGCACTTTTTAAAGAATTCATGGCGCGCAGAGCCACTTGTCAGGCAAATCACAAGTTCGCAAAAAGTCGAAATAGCGACCCAGTTTTGCGTGCCAAAAAACGCGTGGACCCGTTTGACGTGCGAATTTTGAGGGACCCGCTTATCGAACCGGCTCGTGCTTGCGCATGGTGGCCCTACACGCTGGCACGTATATCATGCGAATTTGCAGCCCGATGCTTAGTTGCAGCTTCCTCTATGAATTTCGTGACAGACAGATTTTCACACAGACACACAAAAAAACAGACGGCTTTAGCGCGTTATTATAATAGGATACTTATCGCACCATCCTATCATAGTCGACAAAATTATAGAAACGCATGAAGTAATCCGTAACGGGTGATCAGTGGTTTTTATTGTTCGCACGCGGTCTTTCGCTTGAGAACTTTCCGCCCAGGAGCAAGTTGTATGCCAACATTGTACGTTTAACTTCGTAGTCTTGACCAAAGTGGTATTCCTACTTATGTTTCCCACGAGGGGAGATTACGTTCATTGGCAAGATGTTTAATCCTCAAGCCAAGCGCTCTTCCTGTTTCTTTTATACAGGGTGCGTCAAAAGTCTGGGAGCCTTACTTTGCAGTGTTGCAATTACAAAGGTAGTGGTGGTTTTGATTTCAATTTTATGCCACATTATGCTGCGGTCATCCTTTACAAAATATACTTCATCTAGCTGGGAATGGCTGCCATACGTTTTTGTAAGATTGGAAATTACCAAACTAGTACTTTTGCAAAGCGAAAAAACCAGAATTTTTGTTATTTACAATTTTTGCTGTAGCTAGAGATGCTGTTAATATTTTACAAAACTTCAATGCACACAACATAGAAGAGGCTTTGCGCTATTGTATTAGTTTTGCTTTTGCCAGGAGCTGTTTTTGCGTGAACGGAAAATAAAAGTTTGCGGATGTTACCTACGTGCCAGTGGAAATCCGTCTTCAGAACAAATTTGAAAACTATAGAAGCGCAACAGGCACTGGGACCAAGGCTATATTTTTTGCATACGTCTTCTAAATTAGAATCTATTGAAATTCGGCCATGGGAACACTTTTTATACTTTTTAAACGATAATTTTAGGTTTTTTGTCGCGCAATTGTAGCCAAAATTCGTATGCGACGTACACATGCCTCTATTAGGTTGTCCAGAAATTAATGCCCGTTTTGAATTTCAACCGCGATAGGTCATACACTTCTCATTTCTAAATGGGTTGCAAAGTACCATTCGATAGAGCAAGGCAAGCTCTACAAGATGGCCTTCTTGCTTTTGCAACAGCTCTCATACCTCGAGTTTCGAGCCAAGAACTAAAGAGACTCAGCAGCCCGAAAAATCGGAAAAAATTGTAACTCAGTTCATGAAAATCCTACAAAAATTCTTACTTGCTCACGTAAACACTATCCACATAAACACCTATATACGCCTTTGCCGTACTATTTCCTCCGTTAGAATCAAAGAAAACGGAAATTTTCATGCATTTGCCGAAGTGATGCTGTGCCGTCCCTACATAGGTAGTTGTATACCACAAGCCTGTAGAAGTACAGACTTAAATTTTCAGCTTTCTACAAGCTTTGGTTCTCGAGAAATACCAAAGCTTTCCCTAGTTAGGTGGTCCAAGCTAAAATTCAAATTTCTCGAGAACTAAAGCTTGTAGAGAGTTGAGAATTTACGTTTATACTTCTACAGGTTTGTAGTATACAACTACCTATGTGGGGACGGCGCAACAGCACTTTGGCAAATGCACGAAAATTTCCGTTTTCTTGGTTTCTAACGGAGGGAAAAGTATGGCAAAGGCGTATATAGGTGTTTTATGTGGATAGCGTTTACGTGAGCCAGTAAGAATTTTTGTAGGATTTTTGTGAACGGAGTTACGATTTTTTTCGATTTTTCGGGCTGCTGAGTCTTTTTAGATCTTGTCTCGAAACTCGAGGTGGATGAGAGCTGTTGCAAAAACAAGAAGGCCATCTTGTAGAACATGCTTTGCTCTATCGAATGGTACTTTGCAACCTATTTTGAAATGAGAAGTGTATGACTTATTGCGGTTGGAATTCAAAACGGGCATTAATTTCCGGACAACCTAATAATTAAAAAACCAATATTTTTATTCCTGAGCATGCACAAAATTCTTTTGGAAGTATGTTGTAGATAAAGGCTTGTTCTATCGTGCTGCGCATTTGCCAAAATAAAAGAAGAAGGCGTTATTGTGAAGGCGTGGGGCAAATTTCATTACGACTACCTGCGTGCCGTGACAGGTGGACTTGCCAAGATTTTGTAGGGCCGCGTGGAAGCCAAAAGAGGCAATTTTGCAATTCAAGAACTGGGCTGTATCTGCAATGGTTCGAAATATGTCTGCGCCAAATTTTTCGTTTCTAGGTACTTCCCTTCTCATTCTGTACAAAAAAGTACTAGGCTCCCAGACTTTTGACGCACCCTGTATAATCAGCAGAATACTAGATAATGTATTTGATATACCACCTCTATTCCAGCGGTATCTCCGATGTTATGAGGATAAACTAACAAGGGAACCGTGTCGAGTCGAAGTGGCCTTTCCAAATGAGACCCATACTGCTTTGAAGAGCATTAAGCGGTGATTCCGAATCTGCCTTCCAAATCTGCCAAGCGCCTGTGGACGGCGAGTTATGCTCGTTTTTCAGATCAAAAAATTGAGCGCAAAACTGAAGCAAAATCGCCCAAATTTGCTCAAATGGTCCAGTGTCAAGTATCAGAGCTGTTTATGCAATGGATACATTTTATTCAATATGCTAATACTTAACATTGCTTTGTCTGAGCGCTGGAAAGATTGTAACAATCAATTTTACCTAGATTCTGCATTCATTTTTCGTTCCGATGAACGGTCATAACTCGGCGTTCAGAGGCGCTTGGCAGATTTGGAAGGCAGATTTGGAATCACCGCTTAATGCTCTTCAAAGCAGTATGGGTTTCATCTGGAAAGGCCACTTAGACTCGACACGGTTCCCTTGTAAGCAGTCTGCGTCTCTCTCGCTAGCGTACTTTCTCTAATCGTTCCCCAGGCTCTAGCGATCGAAGCCTCGCCTCCTGAAAGTAGAGCATCCATCTATCGAGTCCGCGTTTGCTTCACCGGTCTACTGCTGGTAGGCGACGATAAAATGACATCAAACGAATATTGAGCTCTACACAGAGCGAAAGACTGATTGTCATGCTGCAACATAAAATGACTTGTCGAAGAGATGTGTTCTTTGAAGTATGAGACTGCCTGATCGTGAAGGTAGGTGAGGGCGGTCACTGCGCTGCGCCGCCCCATTCGTTGAAGTTAAACTGAAAACCCGAGCTGTTTCTCTTTGCGCTTTACACGCATTTTTGTTGTTTTTGAATCACGAATGTGTCACCAATTACGCTTGTCAGCCAAGTAGCGCCGACGGCGACAGCGCTCACCACTTAGCCACATATCGTCGTTTCTCCGGGATAGATGGGGCGTGTCACTGCATAAGTCCGTAAGTTTCCGTAATTTGTACGGTATTAGCTACGGCGCAGCGATATCGCCGAACGGTTGATCATTTTCCGACTCAACAATAATAGGTGAGTTTTTTTGCTACTAATCAAGTTTTTCTTTTCAGATTTCGACGGGAGTTGCTAGTAGTGAGCCGTAATTCTTCAATTGCACTTGCTTTATGTTAGTTTCTCACTTTTGAACCAATGCCGAAGCGAATTTCGCATTATAACTGTGCATTGCATGCTTCTTCTTTTTTTAATTTAAGTCGTGTTTATTGGATTTGCTTTTACTATTTCATATTTCATCATTGTTGGGTCGAAAAATGATCAGCTGTTCGGCTATATCGATTCTGCGCCGTAGCTAATACCGTACCAATTACGGAAACTTAAGGACTTGTGCAGTGACACGCCCCATCTATCCCGGGGAAACGACGATATGTTCGCACCAGCAGCCTGTCGATGCCCGCAAGTACACAATTAATATCAGATTTTCAATTAGCAAGCATCAAAAATGTAATATTCAGTGAGCAAGAAAATATAGTTCAACATTTTTGGAGATCTCTGTACTGCAAGGACGAACATTGTATGGAAATTGATTAAGATAGAAGTTCATCATAAATACGTATATGCACATAGCCTTCATCATTCAAAATACACACTGAATACTAAAATGAAAAGACATTATGGCAGAGTATGTTGAGAATCACCTAGACATGGGACACAAAATAACAATGACTGGAAAGCTCTCGAAGTGTATTCAAATTGGCAAATGCAAACAATAATGCTACCACAGGATATAAAATCTACATAGACTAGACTTATCTGAGACTGTAATTCAATGACTTGATCAATCAGGTGACCCTGCTGTGTTCACTGCCATAATCTGTTCCCGTATTAGAAGTGTTTCGGTGCATTTGTGCAATAATTCCAAAAAACCGTGCTGTTTGCTATTGAGGAGATGTTCGTGGCCGAGCAATTTGCAAGAATAGTCGAGGGCCACTTGCCTTCACAAAAGTTACAGCCGAGAGCTGCAAATGTAAATCGAGTAAAACCTCAGAGTAGACTTTGTAACACTTCATTTCGCGGTTTTCAAAAGTCTATGGAAGCGCATACCTGATCAGTTACAGGCAGTGCATTTACAGCAAGGATTCGATCTCCAACTTTGAGCTTCTCCGCCGCCGCTGAACCCGGTTGCAATGAGGTAACCAGAATGCCTCGGGACCGCTTACCAATGCCCATCCCAAGTTGCTGGTCAGGAATCTAAATGAGGAAAGACCTTCAAAATTCAAAACTATCTGCAATGTCCATATATAATCATGGTCGCGCGAATAACAGTATCTCGGTATTTTTTTTTGAGGCAACAATTGTGGGCACTGAGAGCCCGAAGCATATCTATAATGTTCTGACAGCACCTTTTTCAATTCCAGTAACAAAGTGTCACTTCCTTCTTCTTTGAGATCTTTCAGCATTTCCATTCCTTGCGGATGTCGTTCTTCTTCTTGTAGACTGCGCTAAAAGAAAATATAGAGGAAAGTATAAACAAATAAATACAATGTGGAGGAAGATAAATTAACAATGGTCGGCCAATCTCCCACAATGGTCGGCCGCCTCAACGTGGCGTGGGATGACACTGGTGTCGATCTACGATGGACAGCCGAGTGCATACGTAGGGACTCCCAAGCTGTGAAGGAGTTCGACGTTTCCGGTTTCGGCCGGATGCCTAGCTAAGAGCCGGCCAGGCCAGATCCCCCGTCGTCTGGTTTGTTTTTTCCGGTCGCTAGGCGGTTCTCCCCGCTCCACACAGGGTCAGCGATTGCCCCATGGAACTCAAAAGTAGGCCTAGTAAGTCTGCTTCTGTAGGACAAATTCTATCACTCCGCCAGTTAGAAGAAAAGAAAGAAACCCTGAACATCGGATCCCGCCTACGGCGCCGGGTGGTAGTAAGAACGATGCTAGGGTACTCAGGGCGCCTTTCGAATTGGACAAAAACGACACGTCTGCCCGCACGACACGCCATGGAGACTGCCTCATGCTCTGCACCTACAACGCCAGGACAGTCTCCACTAACACTGACGTCCACGCTCTTCTCGATGCTGCAGAGAACATCAAGTGCTACGTCATCGCTCTGCAGGAAACGAAATCCAGGAAGAAGGACGTGCGACAGATGAGTGATGGGACCCTCATCATTCGTGGCAAGAATTCCACCAGGAAACGTTGGAAGCGTTGGCTTTGCCGTCCACCCATCTATGCCCACCTTGTCGATTCGCATGAGATCCCATCACCTCCCATCCTACGATACGACCTTCACGTCAGAAGACCATCAGCATCATCAACTGCTACTCTCCAACATCAGCAGCTGATGAGTCAGAACTAGATGGTTTCTAAGAAGAGTGGAGAAGATCGTCCACAACGAGAAGTCTTTTTACAAGTGTTGTGGGCGACTTCAACGCGACGGGATGCCACTAGAAAAGGAATACAGGATGGGAAAGTTTGGATATGGGCTCCGGAACGAAAACGGTAATCGTCTCGTTAGGCTTCTCTTAGCACGACTTTTCATGGAAACTCATTATCATAAAAAAAGAACATCGCCGGTGGACATAGGAATCGCTCAACAGAACGACTCGCGCAGAGATCGACCACCTCACCAACCGAAGGTGGAGTCTGCTTCATATCAGTAGTTCCATCCTTCTGCAGTGGCTCCGATCACCGCCTCTTTCGAGCGAAGGTAAGATTCAGTCGAAAACCGGACAAGAAGGTTTGGCACAGTGCCGCAAGAAGCAAGAATGTCGTTATGACGGTAACAGGCAGGGAGAGCTCATATCAAGTTGTGACTGGCTCGTCGAGGAGGACCCAATGTACGACTACACTGGCTTCTGGAAAGATCGCGAGCCTGCAGAGAGTGTGTCCTCAGTGACTTCTGAAAAGAACTTGGAATGCATCTCGACACCAAGGAACTACTCGAAAAAAGAAGATTACTGATGCAAGATCCGAGTGCAACCCATCTCGAGCGATTGATAACCAACGCCAGTTGCAGAAGTTTTGCAGGAAGATCTCAGGAAGTACAGGCAAACCAGAACACTGGAAGCAGCTGGAGGAAGACAAAGTCCTAAGAAATGCCGATGGGACCTCTGTGAATATCACGTGCAGCTGGCTGCACTATTAAACGAAGACGGGACCCCGACTTCTTCCCGATACAAGATGGAATCTATCGCGAAGAACTTCTATATCAACCTCTTCCGCTCATCAACACCCGTGCAGATGCTCGTTGTTTCCACTGGAGAAGTACTACCACGAATTCTACCTGTTGAAGTGCGCACAGCGATTCAAACCACAAAGACGTCCATGGTTCCAGGACGAGAACATTTTTCCGTCGAATTTCTGCGAGCTGGGGGACAACGTCTACACGATTCTCGCGTCGCACCTAACATCTTACCTTCAGAAGGAAAGGGTTCCCGACCAGTGGAAAACGTCAAGAACCGTTCTCTTCAAGAAGGATGAATGCGAGGATCTTCGGAACTACCGCCCAATAAGCTTGCTGAGTACAAACTTTCCACAAAGATTATCCTCGCTTGCATAATTAGGACACTGGATGAAGCCCAACCCCGAAAGCAAGCTGGATTTTGCAAAGGATTCAGCTGCGTGGACCACATCCAGACGATTTCAAGGGTCATAGAAGTCTGCCGGGAGTACCGACTGCTTCTCGTCCTAACCTTTGTCGACTAAGAAAGCCTTTGCCAGCGACGAAACCAATGCCATCCTGTCAGCCCTAGTCGATCAAGGAGTGGATTCAGCTTACGTGAGGACGTTAACCAACTGCTATAAAGACTGTACAACGACGATGCAGCTGTTCCATCGCCCCTGACATCCCAATTGAGAACGGGCTCCGACAAGGCGAAACAATCTCGCCCAAGCTGTACCGCGGCCTTGCAGTGGATGATGAAGCCACTGGACTAAGGCGAAAGAGGCATATGAGTTGATGGGAGATTCCTGTCGAACCTTCGTTTTGTGGACGACATCGTTCTCTTCTCGAGCAGTATCACTGAAGCAGAAATGATGCTGAAGGAAATAAAGGAAAAGGGAAGAAGTTCATGTTGCGAATAGATCGGAAGAAGGCTCTGTTCATGAAGAGCCTTTTGCAAAGATGTAGAAATGGAAATGGAAGGCACCTCTCATGAAGACGTCTTTTTACGTGTATCGCGGACGTTCGATGAACATGAACGGTTTGAGGGACTTAACAGGAGAAGAAGAGCTGCCTGGGCCTCCGAGCTTCTGAAGGAAGCCACCGGCAACTGAGGACCCGGAGCTTCGTGTTCGATTCAACCGTTCTCCCGACGCTCTGTTATGCAGCTGAGATTTGGGTCAATGCTGTAGCCACTCGAAAGCTCTACGGAGCGGGCTCTACCCATAGAGCGCTTCAGCGCAGTCTTCTGAACATAACCCGACACAACAATTCCATTTTGTTGGAATTCGCAGTACAGATTTGCGAAGATGTCCCATCTCTGTGACCCAGCGGAATACGTTGCGAAAGCGAAACATCGATGGGCAGGTCAATCATGAGAAGAACAGACGACAGATGGACGCTAGATTCCTCGCGAAGCGAAAGGTCCTCGAGGAAGGCCGTCAACGGGATATCCAGACGTGATAGTGGAACAGATGGACCAGCGAAGAAATCGGCTGGATACCATTTTCGTCCCTGCATCTCGTGAACGCAGCCACCAACGATGAAAGAAGATCGTGGATGTCTGGAGCGAGGGACAGTTACAAATGGAAACTTCTGTACCGGGGCCCGCAGGTCACGTTAAGCCGGACCATCTAAGAATCTAAGTTAGTAAATAACCATTGAGATAATAAAAGAAGGTCCTGCTGACTGACCTGATCGGTACCACTACTTGGCTCTTCCGTGACAGGCGACAAATGAACTTCGGCTTCAGCTACAGCTTCTCCTTCTGGAGAAGTATGAGTGATGATCGGTCGAACGGGAGGAGCCGGTGAAGCAACTTCTTTCCTTTCCGATGTCACTGCTGATGTACGCGAGTCGTCAGACTAAATGATAAATCATAATCGTCCATCCATTTGAAGGCGCCGTCTCCAGGATACAGCATTCCGAGATTTTGATGCTGTATAATAGCAGATCCTAGGTCGCCCAACTTCGGCTGCAAAAGATGAATTCCAGAACGAGAAAATTGCTCCAGTGGCCGTATTCATCAACGAACCCTGAGGGTTAAACTTACCCTCCAGGGTTAGTTCAACCCTCAGGGTTCATTGGCCGTATTCATCAACTATAGGGTAGGGTTTACCACGGAACGCGATCCACCCGTATCGATCAGCGAACCTGTGGCCGTATTCATCAACTAACCCTGAGGGTTAAACTAACCCTGGAGGGTTGAAGGCAGTGGATCGGCAAAATCCAACAACTCAGGATTCTAACGCGGTAGGTTCCTTATCGCCCAAGTATGAAAATAGTGCAATCCCGGTTGCACAGGCTTTCCCTGCCGAGAAAATTGTTCTCAAACTTACACGCGCAGGCCAATCTCACACGCATCCGAACGAGTTGGCAATTTCCTTCTCACCGTTGGAGGCTGCCCGCCGCAATGCTATAACCATTGGGTCCTGAAACGATTCAGCGTCATCAGCCTTGCTCCACTCGTCCAATTCCAAAGGGAAGGGCATTAGAAAACGCTCGTTTTTGCTGTTTTCAAGCTTTCAAAAGTGGATTTTCGGGAACAGAGTATTGAATAACCCCAGGTAAGCGCAAATTTGCCTAGGTTGAGATTTGCCGAGCCACTGCCTTTAAGGCGTCAGTAACGCGTGTGCTGTGCAAACTCACATCACAGAATGCCTAAGTACGTGCTAAATTCACTTTATACTTCTATTCTTTCACTGTTATAGTAGTATAATCAACGAATAAGCTTCTACACTAGTTTTTATAATACATCTCTAGCATATTTGTGCAGCAATCTTACAGCGTGAGTTTATTTTCATGTGTGCAACTGTGCCGTGTAAGTTCTATTATTGCGCAGTTCGTTCTATACCGGGCTTTTGCTACTCTTTTAGGGGTCAATGCATGTTATTATAAAGGGGTTCCTCTGTTTTGGCACTTCTCAGAGTGGAATGCGCATCCATTTTTCCTCGTCGCATTCATTTGTCACTAAAGCTGAAATTCTTTTTCTCGCGAAGTCAGTGTTTCATGTACTTCGAATCTGAACATAAAACGAAGTCGAAACTAAATACTATAGCCACAACTAATATTAAATACTACAATACTCGTTGATCGTTTTCCATAACTATTAGATGCGAGTAAATGTTTGTATAAAGTGCTAAGGTAGATTTAACCTTGCTCTAAGCTAGGGTTAAATTAACCCTGATGAATCAGGTAAGTTTTACCCTCCAGGGTTAGCTTAACCCACAGGGTTCGTTGATGAATACGGGTTAATCGCTTTCGGGGTATTTCGGGGTAAAATTTACTCCAGGGTAGTTTAACCCTCAGGATTCGTTGATGAATATGGCCACAGAAGGTAAAAGCGGCTCAGATGACTCCGCCCATCAACGTGGATGATATGAAGATAATGTGCTTGATAGCGGGGTTCAATGTGCCATCTGAATCGCTTCTACTTTCTGAAACGTTTTTCTCGCTTCGAAATTATCTTTTGCAGCGGGTGCGATTACTTAGTTGGGCTTAAGGCATACCTCACGCGATTCGGCCGAACCGCCACTTTCACGCGACTTGGCGATTTGCCAGATTTCTACAAATTCATCGTGCGCGCTTCTCGGACGCATATTTGGGCAGCTTGTATAAGTTGCTGCAAACGAAGCAAGTTCTGAGACCAAAGGCAAAGCATTAACGGCGAATTACGAAGAGTCGCTGGTGTGCCAAATCGGAATCGCGCGAGGTATGCCTTAAGCCTTACAAGGAAAGGATACCAACATTAGTCGGCGATTGAAGATGAGATGTATATCAGTAAACGCGCCTTTGATCGCTAATTCCAAATCTGCTTTCCTTTTTTGCGGAAAAGATTCCGAAGTAAGTTGTGGGCGTTCAAATGTCCATATTTGTCAAGGTTTAGGTGGCCTAAAATTGGCGAAAAGCTGTACAAAAACACCAGAAAGTGGAAGTGGTATTGAGTATATTGTTTGCAAGGAAGGAACAAAGTCGATGGAAATTGTATAGGTGTCGTTGTAGAGGTTTTCGCTGATTTTAAGCTACTCAACGCTTGGCAAATCTGGAACTTCAAACGCTCATAGCTTCTTTCGGAAACTTACTCGGCAAAAAAGGAAAGCAGATTTGGAATCAGCGTTCAAAGGCGCATCTAACTATATACATCTCATCTTCAGTTGCCAACTAATGTTGGTATCCTTCCCTTGTTAGGGGCCCCACAGTAGACAACGTTCAAAACCTCATCGCCTCAATTTGGATGGACGGCGCCTCTAGAGTGTGAGTAATCCTGCCATAAATACACCGTAAGCTGCGTAGACCCCTATTATAATATGCGCGTTCTTAAATTCTCTGATATTACTTCACGTACTCGAGGTGTGGTCTGCGATCTAGCTAAAGCTGCTTCCGCTGCCGCATGTACTCGATTCGCAGTCTCGGTGATTTTCCATCGTCCAACCTAAACCATGACGATTATTTCTAATGAAGCGAAAAACTGGAGTAACTTGTAAAAAGAGACGGTACACGGCAATGACAGTAATTGTGCGTCCCTCTTTTGTTAAACCTTAGTATTACAACATTTTATTTCATTTGGCGTAACTTCGACCATACCCCCACGTGATTTGGTAATAAATTGACAGCTCGTGCCCTCATTCTAGACGAGGAAACGTCATTTTATAAATGTGTGAAAGTAGTACAGACTATGCATTTGCTTTTTGAATTTGGATTTGGATTTGAAGACATCTGGCAAACTGCCAGATTGTGGGACCAAAATCGGGAGGTACGGCCAAGACCTAAGGCCTAAGGCATTTAACCCCTACATTCCATAAATCATGGTCACCACACAATGTCTTTGCCGTCTCACCTTAGATTTTTGCTCAAGACACCACCATGTAAGAGTTTTTCGTGTTTTTCGATGTTTTTTGTTCATCTCAGGCACGAACTTCCTCAAGATGAGGTATTTCAAGTGTTTGCTCCGTGGAAAAACCCAGAATGGGATACAAAGGCGGAGAATAGGAGAATAGGTTGTTCATTGGAACAGATCACTTGTGTGTTCGACATTTCATCTGAACGCCTCATCAGTAAAATGAAACGAGAGATCACTTGTGTGCCCATGCTTCACCATCCGATACTCTCTCCATCTCGTATAGTTGACGTCAGAGCTTGGGAAGTCGAACGTGTGTGAAAGTTGAGTGAAACATCCACTCGGACGCCAACATCAGAAATGAAGATAAGATTTTATTCCGCCGCCCAAACCGAAACGGCGAGTGGTCCGAAATCGATCATCGATCGCACATGCTTGACGCCTAACTTGTGATTGCCCACCAGCGGTAAAGAAAGCGACTGTATAATTTCTGTTTTTCCGGGATTTCGGGCTTACGGCACGTAAAAATTTTGAGAAGCATAATAAAAGAATTTTGAAAAACAACAAAACAAACAAAATAACAAAACAAAACAAACACCTTCATCAGATTTTGTCATCCCCCCCCCCCTCCCAAACGGACATCCTGTAAGCGCCACTCGAATACCTCATAACATTTTCATCATGTGTTAAGACATGTACAGGAGAAACAAGACGACCCCTCAACCCGATTCATATAAGAAAATCTGAACGAGTTACTTGATTAAACCAGCAACACCCTTAGGTAGTCATCACGCAGTGCAGCACGAAAACACCGAGGTAAAAGCTGGAGTCAAAATACTGACCTACGAGCCCGAACTGCCGCGCAAAACTTTGGAGGCCTTCTGGATATACAGCAAGAATACAAAAATGAATCGGGAGGAAGAGTGCCTCGCAGCGACCATTGAACACATGCCATATCAAATCCCTCCGTGGGTTTTGATATGAGATCAAGTCACAACGCCACTATAAAAAGACGAAGAGGTACATATCCAAAAATGGTCAATGCACCTCCTGTTTTGTGCAATCCAAGGTGATTTCCCGCTGTCCGTCAATCTACCTTGACTTTCATTTTACTAACGGACTAAATGTTATCTTGAGCTCTGATGTTGGCGTCCGAGTGGATGTTTCACTTACACAATCGACTTTCCAAGCTCCGACAAAGGCGAAGAAGTCGAAACGTTGGCCGATCGACCAAAAGTCATAACTAAATACTATATAGTCATAAGTATTTTGTTGTTGTTGAAACAGACAACACAGCAATATATAATTCAAGATCACTAAACAGCCGAAGTTGAACTATCTCAGAGTCTTTTCCTACATGGTCTTTTTGCGTCCAACTATCCATTCACGCAAGTTACAGTGTCTCCCAATCCCAATGAGGCCAAAATTGTCATGACGAGAGTCAGCGACGCTAGGGTTTCGCGTTACCTGTGACATGCTTGTTTGTTCTCTTTTGAATCTTTTCGCTCTTCTCTGACGGTGCGCATATGGAGCGCTGATCCCTAGCGCTGCGATGCGCATTACGCCAATGCCGAGGCCAGGCCACTTAGGGTTTGTCCGAAACGGTCTGATCCCGACTGAGAACGGCTTTAGTCTTGAGTCTCTTATTCACAGAATGAATGATACGATTTTGGTACAAAAAGTGAGAAAATCATGAAACATGCCGCACTTCATAACAAGTCTTGCTGTTTGTTCTTAGAGTTTGATTTGAGCTTGTTTTGGATAACACTACAGTTTCCACTTGGCAAAATTGTCTATGAGAATACCGTCGAGTCGTTTATAACTCTTATGCGTACTGCACAACATGCGCATTACTTGACCGCTTGGATTAGAACCTGCCCATTTCTAGCGATTTCTCCTTGTTTCCTTGTCCTTTTCGTTTTCACTGGATGTGTATCAGTTGACAGGACACAATTCTACAGTTTGTTGAACCAGAAACGATTTTACTGAGGTTACTAGTAGTTGTAGTCGCTTCCAGCTCATATTGTACAGACTCACATACTGAGTTGCAGATGATTGGAGGATACAAACCTTGAGACATACTCGACCAACGCACGTCTTCAACATCGCCGCCACGTCCTCTTGCATCGAATTTGCTACATCTTGTCCATTCACCGCAAGAATCTAAGTAGAACTAAACTATACAGAACAAATCCAAAGCTCAGACCCTCACCTGATCGCCTGTCATCAACCGGTTGTCTGCTTCAGCTGCACCTCCCTTCACTACCTCGCTCACATAAACGCCGGGCTCATTTTTGCGGCCAACTGAGTAAATTAAACTCTTAGCGATTAGTAAGGAAACCAACGAATTAGACAGATTTTGAGTCTCCATAATGCCGGCGTGTGCCACGTTCTACTCAACATTCTTTAGAGGCAGCATCCACCCAGAATTTAGACTTCCATGTACTTGTCATTCTAGCGCTTTGAGGTGGCCCTCACTGTTATGAAGTGCAAAATGTGCAGACCCTAGAAACTTTTTTCGGGAACTTTTTTCGAAGGTTTGGACGACTTACAGTCTTTGGATGGGCAGGGCCAGATAAGGTCGGCGTGATTTTATAGCACTTTTGTGGGTTCAGGTTGTTTCTTCCATCCAGAGGCCCGCAGGACCGGATCGGCGTAGATGCTCCTCTCCTGGGGCCTGTTTTTAGGCAGGAGTGATTGGAGCAGCAGAGATTTTGCCGGAACGCTGCCTTCGAACATTTTCTGCGCACAAAAGCCAGCGTCACAATATTGTGATAAAGACATCAAAGAATCACGAAGTATACTACGAATGCCATACTTAGGCCCGTATGCACGTACATCCCCGCTGGGGAGGGGAGGGGATCTGGGAGGGGATGCGTCATATCTCGCTACTTTACGTATCTTTCTTCTTCCTTTTCTATCTTGCTTATGAAGGTTCTCATACCCTACTACCTGCGCATAATCGATGCCAGGTTACTGGCATAACTGATTAGATTTGTACTATTTTGTGTGATCCCCTGGGGATCCCCAGGGGATCACACAAGATAGTACACCCCTCCCCTCCCCAGCGGGGATGTACGTGCATACGGGCCTTAGGCCCGTATGCACGTACATCCCCGCTGGGGAGGGGAAGGGAGCTGGATCCCCAGGGGAGCGATCCTCTCCGCCGATACCCGCCAGGGGATCGCTCCCCCGCTTAGGTGCAGGGGAGCGATCCCCTCCCCTGCACCTAAGCGGGGATGGTTTGAATGGTTTCAGAGGTATTGATCGAGCGAACCCCAGTGCATACGGGGTTCGAATGGGGGAGGGGATCCCTTTCCCCACCCCACTCGATCCCCGTATGCATGAGTGTAACTCAACAACGCGGGGGAGGGGATCGACATCCCCTGAAACGGAGTAGGGGTTCGATGGTGTAGGTCAAGCCAGAGAAGCGAGTATTCTAATTTCAGTCAATTATTACAAAGCATTTCGTTCAAATTGATGAAAGATTTTCTAAGGGAGCCGGGTTCCTCTCTCAGCGACCTGTAGCTCGCAGTTGTAACTCTCTCTTCCATATTCGCTTCTTGTAAAAAAAACCCGGACATACATCTACCAGTTTCGAATATCTGTAGAAGTTTGAGACCATTCACGAGAGTTGCGCATTTTCTACAAGACATGATTGTTTTATCCATAAAGGCTGGTACAACATATTGTAACTATCACATTATATGATAAATTTTCTTTATCTTTTTAATCCAACGTAAAACTGCTTTTTATAAAACGAAAATTAGCAGAATCGCGTGTTTCTGGGTAGAGATCCTCGGGGGAGTGATCCCCTCCCCAGCGTTCCCCTTGTGCATAGCGGGGATGACCGCTGGGGATCATTCCCCTGGGATAAAAGACGATATGCAGCTGTAGCTACAGCGTTTATGGAGAGCTGGCACGATTTGCAGCTTCTGTTATGTGTTAAAATACTGCTTTGAGCGTCCGCGCGGCACCCCCCCCCCCCTTTTTCGGCAGCATAACGTCTTCTACCCATTCCCTTGCAGAGACTCATCAACTTCTATGGTACAACATTTTTACGCTGAAATGGGGCAGCATGAGCGAAAGTGGGCAGCATTCAAGAAAGCAAGAACATAATGGGAGTAAAAGAAATCATTTTTGGTGATCCGAGCGCAGTCACTGCATACGCGCATTCCGCAACCCTAAATTATTGAAAGTGAGGAGTTGAAGATGAGTTGCAGTCAAAATATGAAAAAAAGAAAGAGTTTTTCATAGAAAATTTGAAAGCAAGGTGATTTCCCCGCTTGATCCCCTCTTGTGCATAAGGGGGTTCACTTCCCCTCCCCACAGGGGATCCCTTGTCCGATATTTTCTTTGTGCATACGGGGGTTCGCGCGGGGAGGGGAGGGGATCCCCAGCGGGGATCATTTAAATGGTATAACGCACATCCCCTCCCCGCGGGGATGTACGTGCATACGGGCCTTACATTCACACTAAAAAGTTCACTCCATAAATGCTGACAGTTTAGACACCTGTGATTTTTTTTCTATGCGCACCATGCTTAGCCGAAACAAGTGCGTGAGATTATTCCATTGCAGTACTTTTTGACTGCCTTAACAATTACTTCTGAAATATTCTAAAATACAGCTAGATGCTATGTTCCAAGAACGCCGATGGTGCTGAGTTGAATATATGATAATGTTAAGAACTACATGTATAGCCCCTGGAAATAAAGCGACACACAAAAGTTCTAGATTATTTGTGTAATGCACAAGGAAACAAAAGCAAAACTGCCCCTTGAAGATGGTCTTTCAGATGGGTTTGACTACAAGCAACAGCTGCTTCAAAAGTTGCCCATCAATACTTAGCTAGTCCACGTCCGGCGCGGTGCTGGAACGGCGCTGGCACAGCACCGGAGTTATAACAGCAAACGAGCAAATTTGGACGCAGCCAAATAGTTAATCAGAAGAGGTTCCAAGATGAACCTCACTTGCGATATAACTTCATCGAGTTCCAACTCCATTAAACAACAGCTCCGTCTCAGTGGCCGCAGGTACAGGTCTACTTTAATCAATCAACGTCTCTCTATTATCGAAAGTTGTTAGCCTTCTATAAAGATCGAGCCAGGTATAGTCGATTCATTACGCGCAGTGAGATGCCGTTGCGTCCGAATGAGACAATTCGGTTTCGTAAGAGATAGCGGACGGTAAGAGAAATGAAAGTGCGCTTATTTTACAATGGCGTCCTTTCTCTACGTGCGATGAGTCGCTTATATACGGAACTGTATGAAGTTTTTCAATGCATATTGTGAGACGTCAATGTCTCTTACAACAGTGTGAAACTACTGAAGCGTTACCGTTGAGAAATCACATGTAACTCAAGCAGAGAAAAAGAAGCACAAAAAAAGGCGCGAGCGGAGACATGCATACGAACCCATATTTCTGCATCATCTGATCCTCCCATGATCGCAATCTAATCTGTGCAAAGGAAGCGCTTGAAAACGGACGGAAGAGCATGCTGTAATGCGTTTTAATGGCAAAAACCATCTCTTTTTCATAGGACATGTCGGGTTCCGCATCAGAATCTTTCCTTTGAAGGCATCGTCCACCCAAACTGAGTCTGAGATTTTGATGCTGTATGATAGCGAGAGCCCTAGTCTGTGGCAAATCTAACACTAAAACGCAATTTTGGACTTCTAATTACAGCATCGTTGATGGGCGGAGGTTCCTAAGTTCGACTTTTTTGTGATTCATCTTTTGCAGCGGGACTTGGGGATCACTTAGTTAGGGGCTTTGCTATTATACAGCATCAAAATATCACTAACCTCGATCTGGTTGGACGGTCTTTAACAGGTTGACGATTGACGACAACGTGCATTTTTAGCCGTCCGCCTTGTAGGACAGTGCCTTCTACAGTAAGTTGAGTATTTTTAGCTGAAATCAACCAGACCGTCATCTGCAGTATCCCTACAATGATTTTGAAAAGCAGCTAAGAAACGCGGAAGTAATCCTTAGGAATAACGCATAACAGAGTAAAACCACAGCCATTGCATGACTCACCATGTGCGTCACATTGCCGTAATATATTAAAGGCACCCCATTCAAAATGGAGGTTGGCGAGATTATGATGGCATACTAGTGTGGGCCCCCACACTAGGCAAACCTCCAAGCTGCGCCGCAAAAGACTGCTTCTGGAGCGAGAAATCCGCTCCGGAAGTAGCAAAGTAGGCAGGGCAACCATGGTCGCCCCGCCCACTTGCATGCTTTATCTCGCCTGCGCTTGCTACAGAGGGTTTTCGAGAAAGAAATTTTTGGGTGTTTCGCGGATTTTCGACTCCATACTCGAAATCAGGGCCTTCGGAAGGCCTGGAATCGACAAAAACATGGAAGTCGAGAATTTGGATGGACGGTGCTTTGAGCACTTCCAAAAATTTCTTCACAATATTGATTCACTTGCACTAAAATATAAAAATTTACCTATACTTAGGCCAAGGCCTCTACCAGGTTTTTTGACGAGTTCCACTTCAAACATGTTGTAGATCTGCGTCGGGTCCAATAAGCTCAGCTGCAGGTTCACATCGCGGTAGATTAAGAGGCGGACCTGCACCATTTTTTTTTACTCGCAGCAGGCTATCAAAATTCTACCTTTGGTGGTGTTCGCCGGAGGGCGGAGATTGCTTGATCGTGAGTCACTCCTCGAAGCGAAACGTTGTTCACCTAAACAATTTCTGCTAAGCACTAGCACTCTTCAACATGTTTTTGGTGTATTCAACGTAATTGACAGACTAATGACTAATGGCAGGAAATGCCAGAACGTCAATTGGTTAAGTGCATCTGTCGAAAAGAATAAAATGCTAACTTGGAACAAGATGTAAATTCAAATCGACTTCATATTTGTTTTGGGATCGATTGACCGACTCTAAGATTTTGACTTTTGGAAATATTTGCGACCTTCGAGTGTTAAGCCCCTTACACAACAGACTACGTTTCATTTAGTTTATTGGGGAATTTAGACAATATTTAAAGCCCATTTCTTAAATTATTGTTGTCATAGTTGTGTTATACCTGAAGCATAAAATCTTTATTCTTCCTCAGAAGAATTTCTTCATTTTCAATTTACGTGGAGGGGTGTAGCTTTTTGACATACGCATACACCATAGAATAACAATTCTTCAGTCTTTTAAATTTCAAATTATTTTTGACAAATCTCCAACTTGAGTTATCAAAGAGCGTAAATTTCTACGCTGCCCTTATATCAGTACTAATGGAACCCAGAAATCCATAGAAAAACTAAAAGCAGAAAAAATAAGAATTAGAGAATTTTGTGAGAGAAAGAACAAAATGGAGGTTGAAGTGCCGCGACAAAATTATCTTTATATTGATCTTAACGCACACCTGTAAGGTAAAAATGATGCCATCGGATACTCCTTTGTCGGGATGCAGCTAGCCAGCTGCTCGAGAAGGAGGTTGGCCGATGACAGCCAACCTTTGACAGTGACCTCCGGCCGCCGGCACTAGCCGGTTGCCTTCCCCTTCTCCTTTTCCCCCTTTGTATATAAATATTTATAATAAATATAATAATCAAGACTATGTAAAGCCGCTGCACATCAGGTATGGGAATAGCAAACCCCTATACCTGACACCTTTGTATCCTTAATGGACTTTGAAAAAAAAAAAACCAAAAAATGTAAATAATTTATGTTACAATCTAACAAAATGATATTTGGGGAGTCCAAACGCCTGTGTGGCATGTAAGGTTACAAAAAACGAAAACTGAATGAGGCATGTACAAATCTTTGAACTCTCCGTTTTTCTTGTAAATGTGCGAACCTGAATTCGCCAGATAATCATGGATTTGTTTATTTCTAAGATCCTTCAGCATTGATTTTTCTACGAAAAAAAAACTGATAGCCTGCACATTCGTGTATATGAAACACTACCTACGTCGATGATTTGATCATTACCTCCAAAACTTGATCTCCAGGTTTTAAGCGGCCATCATGCGCGGCAGCACCATCTGGATAGACTTCATGGATCACTACCGTTCCTAGTACCGTGTCCGATCCACCTACTATCGATAATCCTAGCCCTTTTCCATCCTGTGATACAGAATAGAACGACAAATTTTTTCCAGGTAACGAAAAACTTACCTTATCAATCTCTATCAAGGTTTCTCTACCAGTTTCTATTGCCGCCGTTCTTTCCACACTACAGCTCTTCTTTCGAGACGACTCTAAAAGGCACACCTAATAAGTATGAGAAGACCTCGACAGCAGCCAACTGCATCCAAATGTTATCGAAGAGAACGACGAGATGTAATGCAAATTGGATGTTCGTCGTTAGAGCATGCACCGATAGATTTTTAGAGAAAAAGCTGTACGCGTGATGATTGCTGCAAGCAGACTTGCAGCAAATCGCTTGGCTTATATGCCCAGAGCAGACGAAGATCTGATTTTAGCTGCTTTCTAGAGTCCTACTAGTATTTATCTGGGGCCTAAAAACAGTGAATTGAAGAAAAAAAGCTTACGCTCATAGATCAAATGAGACCTTGAGTATGAACTAAAAATCTACTCCCCCCCCGCCTTTGCGCCACTCGCAACCCCGTAGCTCAAAGTTTGCAAAAAATGATAAAATTGAAATCAATCGATAACGGAAAATTTCCTACGGACGCGCCATAGTTGATCCACTTGTTCCGCTTAATCCACTATCCACTTCGCTACTGGCCATCACTGAACTTGCCGGTCGCGAAGTGGATGAAGTGGATCAAGTTAAACAAGTGGAATCCGCTTCGCTACTGGTCAGTTTGCTATGACCGACAGCAAGGTAGAACTGCATCAAGTGGAACAAGTATGGCGGCGTGTGCCTATGATAATCGCCCTGCTGCGAGATGCAAAGTAGGTCCGAATCGTTTCAGAAATGAACCTTCTATTCGGACAAACAGACACAGGACAGACAGACAAACAAACAGACATTCAGCTTTATTTATAAGACAATGGATGTAAAAGGGAGAAATCTATAGTATGAAGAGAACTTTTCATTTCATAGGCACCCATGATGTTCACCAAAGTAGATTGGTCAGATAGCCCCAGCAATAAATTTACAGTTATCGATGTGCTAGAACTCCACCACTCTTCAATTGAGAGAGGAGGATAAGCAAATCGAGGTTGTGATTCTCAGATTACTTCACATCTAAAATGATCACATCTTGAAAAGAAGAAATTGAATCACGCTACAATACCTTGGTATTAAAAAAGGACCTACTCCATTGGAACTTACCAGAGTGCCGTCGCAACACAATTTTCGGTTCAATGTGATCTTATACAATTCTAGCATCATTTGCACTCAGTCGCCGTATTCATCAACAAACCATAAGGGTAAAATCTACCTTGGGAGCATGACGCAAGGTCGATTTTAACCTCAACGATTCGTTGATGATTAAGGCCACAGAAAATGCGCTCCGCCAACGTCGAATAGTGGCACTGAATTCAAAATCCGCCAGCTAATCGAGACACGGCGGCGAGACGCATTATCAAAAGGGCCAAAACAAGAAAAGTGTACAGGTCATGTTTTTACAGCGTCTGGTTTTGATGGTGAAAAGTAGTGATTAATGTGAACATGTTTCACATTGTACTTGAGTGATTACTATGAGTCAAGCACTGAAAAATTCACAAAAATTCATTCACGAATGCATAGGCAACCATCCCCGTGAATGTTTTTCTGTTGTATACGATATGATATATATCTTATATATAAAGCTGAATGTCTGTTTGTCTGTCTGTCTGTCTGTCTGTCTGTCTGTACGTATGTTCCGAATAGAAAATTCCATTTCTGAACCGATCCGGACCAAACTTGACACACATACACTACGGGCCCCGGCGGGTGTCATAGGCTACTTTTCGTCATCGATCGATGTCGATTTTATCGAGTTAATCGAGCATGCTGATCACCCCCGTGGGGGTGATCAGCATGCTCGATTACACCTCTCTGCCAAATTCCAGCCCCCTAGCTCAAATTTTGCAAAAAATCGATAAAATCGACATCAATCGATAACGAAAAGTGGACAGTGACACCCGCCGGGGCCCGAAGTGTATGTGTGCCAAGTTTGGTTCGGATCGGTTAAGAAATGGAATTTTCTATTCGGAACATACGGCGGAGCCGGGTATGCCAGCTAGTAGCTGATATAATATAGTGTAAATATATGAACTCAGTGAGCTCCGAAGGAGATCGCGGTTGCAAACTATGAGCGGTGTGAACAACATGTTTCACATTGTACTTGAGTAGAATTTTCCTTTGATATAGTCGCTTGCGGTACCGAGAAAATGCGACAAAATTATTGCGTGAACAAATAGCTAGGCCTGAACCGGAATTTTGGGCGCGCAAGTGTCCCCTATTACAGGCGTAGCTGTTTGTTCAGCAATTGTCTGCATTTTCTCGGCAGCGCAAGACAGAATAGGCTGCTGCATGACGGAGGCGCACAATACCTTCAGGCGCGAACGCGGCTTTACTAGCCGCAAAGCGCATGAAGCGCAGGATCTACAACAATAAGGACACGCGCGCGTCGCGTTCGCGTCCGCTCGACTAATCTGCTATTGCGCCTTTCATGCAGTAGCCTTTATATTAAGCGGGAAATCGACTCGACTCTAACTATCGAAGATTATATAGTGTGTGCCCGGCCAAATTCCCATGGGTACCTCCGCAGCGCAAACGCGCCGCGCGCTGGCCTTGACGCTTCTCGTATAGCTTAAAGGCAGTGAAGCATTCCTAGCACAAATAGGGGTGAAAGACGAAGTGGAAACAGCCAAAGTTATCTCGAAAGAATCCTTCGCACGAATCAAATTTGCAGAAGTATCATTAATTCTTAACTTCCACTCAATCCAATAGATGCGAGTCGCCTTCTGTGGAAGTAGAAAATTTGAATAATCTGAACTCGAGAACGGGCATAGGAGTAATCGGATCTCCTCTAGTTTAACAAAAGGTTTTGCGTTGTCAAATGCATCTACAACTGCAGAGATTCAAGAGGCACACTAACTTCAAAAGGGGGAATTTTGGAAGAATACTTTACCACAAACTACCAAGATCATAACTATCTAAAAAGAGCGAGAAGTGTGCAACGAAAGCTTTTGGGGCCACTGAAACGCAAAAGTTCATCACCACCATTGTCGTGCTGACACCTAAAATAGAAAGATTATGAAGCATCATAGTCAAACAAGAGTGACAAAATTTGCCAACAAAGGCTGGAACGAGGTGCACTGGAGGCAGCTGCAAGCGTGCGCTACGGCTGCGCCGCGGGGTACCTATGGCGGGGTTCATACTGAGCCGCACAAAGCGGCACAGTTCCAGCACAGCGCGTGAACTGTGCCGGAACTGTGCTGCATGCGCAGTTGGAGTATTTTGACCGTTTCTAACGGTTTTCTTTCAGGTATCTTTCATTTCGGGCCTTATTCCTCACCCCGCTTTTCCTTCTGATGAGTGGAACTCCGAGCGCAAAGCGGGAATAAGGAATAAGGAAGTAGTTGAGGAATAAGCGCTGTTCTGTTGTGTGTCCGATTGTGCGTGTTATTCCGCTCGTTCATCGTCTTTTCGTTTTATTCTTGCATAAAACTATTCCATTTGTTTCCAAGAGGCCGCTGCGATATTTTTGCAGGCAAGGAGAGCAAAAGAAAAGTGCAGAAGAAGAAAAAGAAAGAAAAGCAGGAATTCCCATCACTTTTGGGCTCCCAGCCCCCGTTCTTCCGTTCCATTGTTTTTTCGTTCTTTGTTTTACCCCCTTTTTGTTGTGTAGCGCTTCGAACTTGAAGTGGGGTAGAAGAAAGAACGAAAAAGAAATGAAATGGAAAAAGAACGGGACTGGGAGGATACATGAAGCACAACTGCGTTCATTCTTTTACCCCACTTCAAGTTCGAAGCGCTATACAAAAAGGGAAGCGGGGTAAAACAAAGAACGAAAAAACAATGAAATGAAAACGAAAAGTGGCTAGGAGCCCAAAAGTGGCCAACAGATTGATGGGATTTCCTGCTCTTCTGCATTTTTTTTTGCACTCTTTCAAAAAAAAAATGCCTGCGAAAATATCCCAGCGGCCTCCTGGAAACAAATGGAATAGTTTTATGCAGGAATATAACGAAAAGACGGTGAAGAGAGGAACAACACGCATAATCGGACACACAGAGCAGAACAGCGCTTATTCCTCAACCCCGCTTTGCGCTCGGAGTTCCACTCATCAAAAGGAAAAGCGGGGTGGAGGAATAAGGCCCGAAATGAGAGAAACCTAGAAGAAAAACCGTTAGAAACGGTCAAAATTCTCCAACTGCGCATGCAGCACAGTTCCGGCACAGTTCGAGCGCTGTGCTGGAACTGTGCCGCTTTGTGCGGCTCAGTATGAACCCAGCCTATGGGAAGCTTGCCGGGGTGCACACTATACGCGCATTGAACACATGAGACTATAGAGCGGACACATTAAGGTCACTACTAACTGTAAGTGGTTGTCATGGTACTCACGTTTTTGCTGCTAACGGAGATAGGGAATAAGCCTCCAACTATTTCGACAATCATCTAAGAACTTGTGATTTAGATGGCTCGTTTGATTTGTGAAGTGATCTTGCTTTTAAAGTCTTTTGTGTCGGGCCTCGTACTCTATTTAAAAATGAGAACGAAAAATGAGCTGAAGCTCATCTTCTTGCTCTCCTATATGTTGATTATTCTCATACTATCTTGTTAAAGTAGTCAATAGTTTTGGGAGACGGTCAAGAGGCGGATTTTCGCAGGGTCACCAGTTTAACAGCCAAGTTTAGAGCTAAGCGAGTCTTTCAAGAATACCAGAACAAGTGCTCAAGCTCAATAACCTTTTCGAAGCAACCATTTACCAAGTTTGGCGGCTTATGGTTAAAACTTTACTGAAACATTCACGAAAACGTCATTGGTTGCATTTTCACGGGTTTTTGACCTCCAGCGCTTACGTTTCGAATCTACTTTGAAACGATAATATGAAACAACCCATGGGGCGATCATACATATCTTGTTAGAATTGAATTATTCTTAGAACATCATAACATACTAAACATGCGCTAATCAATGTCCATCTGACAATAAAAATCGCGCCTCTTAACATACATTCACTAGCTCTTAGCACTAAACCAGACAGGTAAAAACAGGACTTGTTCACTTTTCTTGTCATACGGGCCTTTCAATCTCAAAGATTGACGACGTGAATGAAAAAAGGAAGAACAATAAAGAATGCTCGGACAAACAACAAAATCGATTTCTCGCCATATAACTTATATATAAAGCTAAATGTCTGTTTGTCTGTCTGTCTGTCTGTATGTATGTCTGTCTGTCTGTCTGTGTGTACGCATGTTCCGAATAGAAAATTCCATTTCTGAACCGATCCGGACCAAACTTGGCACACATACACTTCGGGCCCGGCGGGTGTCATAGGCTACTTTTCGTCATCGATCGATATCGATTTTATCGATTTTTTGCAAAATTTGAGCTACGGGGCTGGGAGTTGGCACAGGGGGGTAATCGAGCATGCTGATTACGAATATAATAATGACAGGGCCGGGCGGAGCCGGGTAAGTCAACTAGTTCCAAATAAAACAAAGATAGTGTTTGTTTTCATCAAATGTAGTCTTTGCGCTCAAAGGCAGCGTCCGGGCAGATTTGGACATTATAGGATACTATCATAACAGAGTACTAGGGCCTCGATCTAGACTATCGCATAAGTCCGACTTTTGTACACCCTTATAAGAAGTGAAAATCGGCGCAGAAAACGGAGCCTCGAGGACCACCCCCACTCCCTCGCACGGCCCGCCCTCTTGAACCGTTTCTCCCCAGCCCTTGACGTATTTTCACGTGGCAAACACAATGGAACACATAGTATCTATCTGTTAATGCTTGCTTTCGACAACGGAGGGCGTGCAGGAGTTCCTAGCACCTTTCCTCGCACCAACTTCGCACCGGCATTCGCACCTAGGAGGGTTCTAGCACCTCCGGGCCTCAGAGGTCAGGACCCGCCCATTGCTCCTCCCATTTACTGGTCTCATCGTGAGGCGTACAAGCAGCGAGAACGTAGATTCAGGTATTAAGGTAAGAGAAAAAATGAAGAAAAAACGGAACATGATTATCATTTCTTAAGTGAGGCGGCTTGGAAACTTCTGCTATGCCATCCTTTTGAAAAAGAGCACATGAACATTACTCTAAGAAGAGAAAATAACAGAGAATTTTTTGAGTGGAAAATGCGATCATTCGCATTAGAGGATCTAGTCGATAAATTGTACATTACTGGTCATCTGATTGAAGTAATTTAGCATCACGAGCTTCAGAACCCAATTCCTTATCAACAATAGAAGGACCTATTTTGAAAGAAGTGCATCAAAGTTTCCGAACAAGCACTTAACGCTTTATCCAACAGATAGGATATCTAAACACATACTTTTTTATCGTTTGCCATCATAATATATTCGAAGAGTTTTTCGTTCCGATTACTCTAATGATCAGTAAGGCCAAAATTATCATAAAGAAATTTTGTATTTCCTACAATCGATCTACTATAATAGATTACCAAACTTCGTCGCATGATCGCAGTTGACTAAGAGTTCCAGATACGACACTGAATTTACAAGATATGGTAATTCGCTATCTTCTTAGATGGTTTCAGAACTTGCGTAAAATAAACTAACTTCTCTGTTATATACCGTGATTGGAAGACTCATAACTTCTGCTTAATTTAAATTGATGCGATATGTTTCACAAACTTGTCAGGCGCGAACACTTATAAGTTTAAGGAAGCGTCGGTCTATCCGAAAAATGAGTAAACATAACTCCAAATGCTGCAATTCACCCGCGGATTCTGAACCTTTTAAAACCTAGAATTTTTTCTTGTTTCTCGATTCGAATTCCATTATCCTCATATACAATAAAGCATGTCTTACAGTGCGTGTACACAATTTAGAATGAGGGCACCTAGAGGGAAGAGTGATGGGCGGAGCCGCTCTTTGGCCCCGAGAAGGTGTGATGTCCTTCAAGGGATTTCTGGAGGTGCCAAGTACCCCTGCGAGGAAAAGCGGCTAGGCTTTGGGAACTCCTGCCACGCCGCCAGAAGCGGGGCGTGAATTCACAGTGGGGAAGACCCCGCCCACCTGCTGATTCCCCTTCTGCGTTAGAAGGATTTTTCGCACTCCAGTGTGGATTTTTGGATTCAGCATAGCGAATGGGCCTGGGTACGCACAAAGTCTCAAAATCGACTTCTTGCCCGTACACTGCCTTCAATGGATAAAGCTTGAACATCGATCAGTCCGATAACTTGAGTTACGTATTCTTGGCTACTTCTTGTACATGTGAAGTGGAACGACAAAAAAGCTATGATTTGAGAGATCTGATTGTAAGAAATCGCAGCAATTCCCACAGTTCTCACGGGCACGAATACTCTTGCATCTAGAATTTAGAAAAAAAGAAGAAGAAGAGCGTGAGTTATTTCATAAAGAAGTCAAAAACTAATTCAAAATTCAGATAAGTTCAGCAAAAAAAAACAGACAATATTAGTGAGAGTGCTGCCTTTTATTGATTCACCCAAGTCAGCTTCTAAGAGGCGCACATAGTCTCAAAACATCATCGATAGTAGACAAGGAAAAAAGATAAGACCAGAAGCTTCTATAATCTCAATCATATTAAAACGATCAAAGAACGACCGACCATACTTTGTCGAAGTACGCAACAATATTTCCATGATAAAATATGAGTATGTGCGATTGAAGGCACCTCCACCCAAACTGAGAATTCTAAGAATCCGATGCTTTATGACAGCGCTGCCCCTAACGGGGAAACGCCCAACTCTCATTGTAAAAGATGATTTTCAAGGGGTGAAAATCGCTCCAGGAGGTAGAAGCGGCCCATGCGGCTCCGCCCATCTGTGTGGGTGGTCTAAAGCAGATGAGCGCCAAAGCGGGCTTCAGTGTAGAGAGAAATTTCGAAAATCTAGTAATGCAATAAAGGGCGAATTTATGACAGTAGGTCCATTAGAACTCAGTTTTTGACTGCTTATTTTCAGACACCCACGTTGATGTAATCATTTGGAACGCTTTCACCTTTTGAAGTGTTTCTTTCCCATTTTGGAATTCATCTTTTGCAGCGGGAATTGGCACTTAAACAGACAGTCGATACCTCCGCAGGGCAAATGCCGGGGGTCTGCCACTTCGCGCTCCGGAGCCCTCCCATTTCACCCATTTTGGGCTCCCCAAACCTGGCGCACCTCCGGAGCAGAGATTTGCGAGTCTCGGAGAGGGGTCCCATTCGTGACCGGACGTCACAAGCAGGCGAATGGGACCCCTCTCCGGGACTCGCAAATCTCTGCTCCGGGGGTGCGTCAGATTTGAGAGAGCCCCGGAGCACCAAAATGGGTGAAATGGGAGGGCTCCGGAGCATGAGTGGAAAACCCCCGCTGGGCAGATCCCGGAACCCTCCCACATTCGCCCCGAGGTATCCCTTCGACCTCGAAGTTAGGGGCTTTGCTATTATACAACACCTAGAATCTCGCTAGTCCTAATATGGGTGAACGTTAATATGTTCAAAGGCAGTTTCCCGGCAGATTTGAGTTGTCCGAGGTTGCAACAACTCAAATCTGCCGGAACACTGCCTTTAAGCGCAGATTGAACAAAAGCAGTATACTCACGTTCAAGGTTATGCAGTGCGGAATCAGTGGACACATCCACGGTAGGTGGCATAGGTTCGACCTGGAAATATTCGATAATTGTGAGTATTCGATTGAAGTCAGATAGGCTTGAAGGAGAAACGGTGCAATTAACAACAAGGAAGGTAAGCTCACGCGAGCCACCGGAATATGAGATGAACTTGATTCTCAAAATTACATGGATCTAAGTGACTGAGTTTAGCCTGTCTGCTGGTTCCTTGTTTGATGTTTTGCTTTGAGAAACGGATTATAGGTGTATTATTTGTATAATAGCGGTTTAGTGCCAAGAAGGTTTCGCATTGAAAAGGCAGTACATTTGAAATTTCACATCTCTTCTTTATGCGCACAATAAGCAGTTCAGAAAGAAAGTATATGTAAAGAATTTCACAATGCCCAACAACATACGCGGGTGAGAGGGGGAGAGAGAGTACTTTTATTGAACGACTAAAAATCTAAATTTCATCTTTGACATTTCCGTTTTGAATTCGTATAGAATTTACTACAGAGAGACGCAAAAAAGTATTGCAAGTTGAGAGCTAACGTAATGGCTGTTTGGGAATTTCGCTGCCACTCAACTTTAGAACTATTATGCGCGAAAAACCCGAAGTCTACAGTTTAGTAGATTTACCTCCTAAGATTGTCTGCTTGTGGTAGGTGTGGTAATATCTGCAAGTGAAACAGTAGGCACGTTAGCAATGCTGATATTTTACGCGCGCGATTGGCCGGCATTGCAGGCACAGCTACTTGTACACGCGCAATTTTTACCGCACCACTTTGGCACCGCAAGCACACTATATTAAGCGGAAAATTTATTCGACTGTACTAGCACCAGTGCATGCGCCGCTTCCTTACGCTAGATATACCTTCGCTTCAAAAGTGCAAAGGCAATAAGTAAAATGGAGATTCACAAAAGGAGTTCACGTGAACTGCTCTTTTGGAAGAGATGGCAAAGAATGTTCTTAAGACGTGATCTTTCGAGCGGAACTGAGGGGAAACACCGAGGTAATGCATACGAGGGCTCTCGACTATCGTCAAATTGCCGCCTCATGCTGCAGCGATTATGAACACGAGTACGGGTTCGAGCCCCGAGAGAGTGAGCCGGCTGCTGAGAGCGAAGGGGTGGAGCGAGCTGCGAAAGACGCAGAGTCCTGCCGCTCGAACCCATAGCCAATGAAGCACAGCAAACTCGGCTGAAAACATCATGACGCACTGAAAAGATGGATATTGATTGGGGCTAGATGCGCACCCGCACGTGAAGCTGCTCTCTCTGTGCTGATGCTTTCGCGCGCGCGCCAATTCACGGTGCATTTGATAATTTGCTGACGCGCACTCTGCGAAAAGACGTTCGATGAGCAAAAAACACTGTCATTTCATGCAGCCCTATCTTGACAGCTTTCAAAAACATGGAAGAACAGAAGGCATACTTCTCTGCACTCGATGTGCTTCCAGCATGAAATTAGCAGACATTGCAGTAACATATGTAGTTGATTCTTCATGAAACATGGTGCAGAATCTAGACCTTATGTTAGATTTTGTGGATTTTGTTTCCAAGAAGGGAATGCTGAGTTGAAAATTGAATCCTCAAAAATAAACTGCTAACATTTTACAAACAATTCTGACCTTCCCTGTAAAATGTTAGCAGTTTATTTTTGAGGAGGTCTTCTACGGCGGCCAGTCTACTTCTGGAGCTTTTCGGTCCACACATAAGTCTTTCAACAAAATTTGTATTACTTTTTGGTCCTGATATGGCCAAGTCGACCTAAGAATTTTATGGTAAAAGGCTCTGCGTAATCGCGAGAGTTGGTGAGTTTGCGTGCATTGCACACGCAGGATGCCAGAAAGCTCTCAGTTAATCCTGTTTTTTCAAGATCAATTCAGGTGATTGACTGACATCTGATAGCAGGAAAGTGTTTAAAAGGAGAAAGATAACAGGTAAAGCTCATTGCGCGTGCAATGGCCGCAAGTTCACCGACTCTCTTGATCACGCTGAGCCCTATAATTCGATGTTTCTATGAAACCAAATGAATTTCTTTTGTCAGAATTTTTTAAATGTCACAGTTAATTCTCTTAATTTTTCAAATGTCACAATTACTTCTCTGATATGTATAGAAGAATACTATGTTACTCTTACTTTTTTTACATTTTTTTCTAAACACATGAGAAACGGCATATTGTATTTGCTGACTAACCGAAATTTCAAACTTTTCCAAAATGAATACTTTAGATTTCTTAAGTAACTATTTCCAGGGAAAGGGACGAGGCGGAAAGTATTCAAAAACCTTTTCTCTTTGTACTATGTATTGACCAGTGGGGACCGAGCCCCTCCCGCCCCCGGAGATGAGTTGTGAAGTTCTTGAACTAGCCTAGAGTTATAAAATTGTCAAGTAACATTTTTCAGGTGTAAATATTAGGTCGTCGCGAAAGTTCTTGCACACGATTTTTAAAAATTCATAACCTCTGATTTTTCCAACCGATTTGACTGCTTTTGTTTTTGTATGAAAGAGTAAGTCATGCTTTTTATAATGACATCTTAACTGCTTACTAATGTTCATCTGTTGCATAGATAGGAGCGATTGAAGAAAACTGGTCAAAATTCGAATTTTCTGTGTAAGGTCATAAAAAATCGGAGACTTGTAACAAAAATCGGAGCAGTCGGTATTGTAGGTTCTTTCAAAGGCTCTTTCTAACTACGTAAAGTTTGCGCTGGTTGAGCGTCTCTATGAAAAGTTATGATTTTCGAGCAAGCAATACAAAAGGGCGAATTTGATTTATTTTGGCCTTTTTCAGCAAAATCGTAACTTTTCAATGAGACGCTCAACCGGCGCAAACTCTGCACTGTTAGAAAGAGCTGGTGAAAGAACTACAAAATCGACTGCTCCGATTTTTACTGCAAGTTTCAGATTTTTTATGACCCTAAACAGAGAATTCAAATTTTGACCAATTTTCTTCTATCGCTCCTATCTACGCAACAGATGAACATTAGTAAGCAGCTAAGATGTCATTATAAAAAGCATGATACTCTTTCATACAAAAATAAAAGTAATCAAATTGGTTGAAAAAATCAGAAGTTATGAATTTTTAAAAATCGTGCGCAAGAACTTTCGGGACGACCTGATAATTACTAACAATTATACAAGAACTATTAAAATTCAAATTGGCCTTGTAAAAATAAAACTTGGGATGTGACAATTCGGAAAATGTTTAAAGGGATCTCGAGACAATTGCAAATATGATTGTTTATACTCTTGCGCTTCTTCTCATTCTAAAGCCAAATATGAGCATTAAAATATTAACAAAAAGACCGCGGTAATAGGAGATAGGAAAATCTCTAGCAGTGGAAAAGCTTATAAACTGCTACAGAAACCTCGAAACAAAGCTGAACGAGGCAAGTTACTTCGCTATAAATCACTATACATACAAAAGTACTACTTATCAAGCAAATGTTAATAGAATAATGTTGGAAAAATAGTACTTACAAGGAAATGGTCAGAAGTCGAAGTGGCCAATCCATACAAGCTGCATACCATTAGGTGCAGCATGAAACGCTGACTGTACAAAGCCATTCTCGGCTCAGTGTTGAAGCAAAACATGCAACTAGTCACTTCATATGACCCGTACCTAGAGGTGAGCTGAAAGAGCACTAATGTGCCTAATTTCGCAACTTTTGAACTTCGTCTACAAAGGCGCTCTGCAGATAAAGAAGACAGATTTGAAATCAACATTCTATGCTCCATCGAATGGTATGCAGCTTGTATGGATTGACCACTTCGACTTCTGACCATTCCCTTGTTAGTTCCGAGAATTCTTAACCTCCTATCAGAAACTGAGAGTGTATCCTTCGCATCCCACACAATCTACTCTTCCCTCACACCATATAACAAAATATACCACAAAAATTTTGCTAGGTGAGAAAGGTCCAGACAGAGGTTTGCAGGCAATTGTTTCCCTCAGGCTCCGGGCATACTTCACGCTATTTTAGCTGCGGGTTTGCAGAGCTCCAACTGTGTACGATTAGAGAGAAAAAAAGTTGTTTAAACTGCTAGCTATTCTAAACTGTTTATAAGTCATCGTAAGCGCGATATGAAAGTGCGGAAAAGACGTTTAATGATCTAGAAAGCTACCATTGATCTGTAGTCTGGAATGCTGGATGAAATCGGGCCATTTGCGAGACTGCGACTGAAATTCGTGTAGCATGGCCGCGGCCTTAGGCGTTGGTCATACTCGAATATCTATCGAATCGCGGCCGCCATGCGATCTGGCAGTTTGCCAGATATCTGCAAATCACCCGCGAATTTCAAATGCATAAGCGCATAGTTTTTGTGAGCTGATGCAAATGCCAAGTCGAAGGCAGCTCCCGTCCAGATTCATTATGGTGGCGTGAGTTACGTGAAAATCCTCAAAACCGCCCTTTCCGAACGCTTATTTGGACAAGAGTGGACGGGCTGCACGTCAGGAGGTTCGCCGCGCGCGTCGCAAATCTCTCCACTGTTAGAGTTCCCAGCGGCAAAAACAGCGGGGCAGGGGTGGGGGCAGACACATGTACTCGATGCCAAAGTAATACTGCGCCAGAAATGTTGCTATTGCATTGGCTGAAGTGCGCTGCGCCTCGCTTCGCGAAAAATTCGCGGCGATCGTACCTCCTGACCGTTTCCCGAGTGGACGAGTGTCCCGGCGCTAGTCGCATCGTATGCGCACAAAATGTCGCACAAAATGCAATATCAGCACACTATGCGGTACGCGCTCCCAATCCGCTTGCCACGTCAGAACGCGTCAGGGACATCCCTTGGATGAGCAGAGCGCAAAAAAGGGGCAGAGCGCAAAAAGGTCGCGGTATTGCAGATTCATTTTCTTTGAAGGCAATACAGGGTATTGGAGTAACGCTGTTGATCTACATCTTTTTCTTTCACGCTGTATAGCGACTATGGAGCATATTTGGGTGGACGCTGCTTTCAAACACAGTGCATTTACAAACTGGGAGCTATCGTAGTGACTGAAATGGCGCTAGGTACAATCGATGACTCAGAGTCGTCACGTTTGATCGCATGTGATTGCAGGTCTATATGTAAGTTACGCTCCATCATAAAGGCAGAAACCTCATCAGAATTAGTAACGATAAATCTGCTTATGAAATGTATGCCATTTCCTTAAAAATTGGAGAGATATCGACAACGGAGAACTCGTGATTACTAGTGTGATGGTACTGATGCAGCTCATTTTTTTCGATAATCTCGAACAATATTATGGTTAGCGGTGAATAATGGGACACTTGAAGTATGGGTTGTTTCATACTGCCGCACTGACTGCAGCAGTCTGCACTGACCGCAGCAGACTGCAGCAGACTGCAGCTGACTGCACTGACTGCAGCAGACTGCAGCAGACTGCAGCAGACTGCAGCAGACTGCAGCTGACCGCACTGACCGTAACGACCGCAGCGGCTGTAGCATGCAGGCGGAGAGAATAAATAGTTGTGGTTTATAACAAACAACAACAATATATACGTAAAAGCAAAAGACAACACGGTTAAGAATGTTACAAAACAGGTATATGCAATGATAGGAGGAATTAGAACAAATACGAACATACCAAAGAAAACTATCGCCAAAATTTGATTGAGAAGAATTCTGATGGAAATTATGATCTTCTTATGCGTAAATCACGCTGTTTTGGTATTCGCGGTTGTTTTCTTTTAAGAAAAGAGGCTGCGACCGGTGCGGTCAGTGCGGTCAGCTGCAGTCAGTGCAGTCAGCTGCAGTCTGCTGCAGTCAGTGCGGCAGTCTGAAACAACCCTATGACTGCAGCTTTCTAGAACAAAGATGATTGAACGTACTTATTTTGAAAGGATGAAATAAATCAATCTCGTTTGAACAAATTGTATAATGTCACATATGCAGCCATTTTCATCAGTGTTGTGCAAAATCAAATCCTTTGAGCAATCATGATCTGAGCAGTAACTACGCACCAGTGGCGTACCCAGGATTTCGGCTCGGGGGGGGCGCGACAAAAATTTTTTTCTAAAGAAGGTGCGTGGCGTTAGCCACGCACTCCGAAAAATTTTTTGGGGTGCTTCTCAAAATTTTTCCGGGTCCCCGACCCCTAAAATCCGGAAAAAGGGGGCGCGGCGTCAGCCACGCCCCCGAAAAAAAAATTTTTATAAGCCTAAAATGAATTTTTAAAAAATTTTAAAAATTATTTTAATTATTTACAAGTAAAAACAAGTCACTTGCACATTTTTATAACCCATGTAAGTAACTTTCAAAAATTTCGCGACCCGTTCTCGGGGGGGGCGCGCGCCCCCCCCGCCCCCCCCCCTCGGTACGCCACTGCTACGCACATACCTTGGGTAGTCTAGAGACAAGCTGTCAAAAGTGAAGGTTGTTTATAGAAGAAGAAAAAAGACTTAAAACAGATATAAAAGGCAAAAAAAACTGCTGAAATTGATAAAAACGCTGCGATGAGGTTTGAAATCTTTCATTCGGCGGCTTTTCAAAGCGCAGGTTTTCGCTCCCCAGCAATTCGCAACACGGGGAAAACGAGGAAAAGCTGATTTCTTTTTTGTGACTGTTTTGGAAAAACATGTTTCGGAAGTAGTGATTATCAAGAAGTAGATAAACAAGAAAGAAACTAGTTATGAAAACGCAAAGTTTCTTTTTTCCCAAGTCCAAATGCACGTCAAAGCCAAATTTAGTTTCTGATGCGTCCTTTGAATTTTTACCCCCGCATTGACTTTCCTGTTTGCTGGGTCGTTGTCTGGATTGTTGCGCTTATTGTTCTGAGCAACAATCGCCCAAGCCGAAAAAAAAATCGCTACGAAAGCACTGCAACAGAACAAGGTAAAGAAAAACGCACTTTTTACGATTTTTCACAAAAAAAATCCACCATAATCGAAGAGATAAGCAGTGGGTCGTTGTCTGCATTACGAGCAAAAGCAAGATCTATAGAATGCACGAAAAAACCAGATGAAAAGAATTGAACTAGAGGAAAAACAAACAACATTTCGAAAACAGATTTTTGCCGGATTTCTCGTCCAAATCAAAAAAATGGGGTTTTGGGACGTTGTCAGCGTGAAGATAGAGATCAAGAGCTTCAATACGATAGATAGCTTGCTAAACTGGGTTCGAAACAACGAAGAAAAAGGTACTAGAGCCAAATGCCCCGCGCCCCGCGTTTGGGGTAGCGAGGTAGCGCGCCGCGCGGAGACGCAGACGAGCAGCGGAGACAGACCAGAGCCGACGGGGTTGTGGTCGTAGATCTCCGTGGGGTCACAACGAAACCCTGCAACACTATATACCGTTCTGATCGTCATGACAAGACGAGGGGCACTGACAACGTCCCAAGCATTGAAAATCACTCATTAACGAGATAAACCACCATTTTTGTGCGCAATTTCTACGCAAGATTTAAGCGCATTCTCTCGTTTCTGTTTAACTGCAACAGCTTTCCTAAACTTCTGGAACTCAGTTTTAGTCAAATAAGAGGTTAACTGAGAAATGTTGTCCTGAATTCTGGGAAAACTTTCACAGAAACCTTCTTTTCCGTCTAAGAAAGGCTATAAAAACGCAAGTTCTTGGTTTCGCTTAGATAATCTAAAGATATTCTTCCCTAGGTTTGCTTATTCGTTCCGATATAGTTAGGAATATAATACCGAGGCTTCACCCCGGATAGTCTGTTTTTTCCAGGTGAAGGTTGTGTCCTCTCATGGCCCTCAAAGTGAAGGTCACCGGAGTACATGGCTTTAGGTATCGAAAATATGACTACGCGGCAGAACTTCCGAGGCTAGTCCAAAGCACAAGTCTGCAACGGGTGAGGAAGTCACCACACGAATTTTTGCGTTCGTATCATCTACACTTGCGGAATGCGGGGTGACTGATGTAGCCCGATGCATGATAGTTCCCCATACGCTATGTTCACTTTGTTCACTGTCATTTCATCAGTAGGTCTCCAGTGCTTAGTGGAATGTGTTGCTATCCGTTTCCATATATCAGTAAAGGGCCGGGCATACTTCACGCGATTTCAGTCGCGACGCGATTTGCAATTCGCCAGAAGTCTTCAGATCCAACACTAGCAAACTGCACATGCATAGTGTGTATAACTCACTTGGATTGATAAAGTGCCCTATCTTCTGTACATTTAAAACGTGCTTACGGTGAGTCATGGACAGTTGGAATATTGCCAAGTCGCGTCGCGACTGAAATCGCGTGGAGTATGCCCGTCCCTTAACCAGTGCGTCACCTCCGCTTCGCGGAGGTTCGCACTGTCTCCCTATCTGTATGCCTTTCTCATTTTCGCATGAGAATGGCTTTGAAACTCACCACGCAATGCTGAGCACACAAATGAATCGTAAACAACTGTTCATTCATGAAGCATCTCCATGTAAGAGCGGTAATTCTGAGGAAAAAAAACTTTCTTGCAAGGAAACAAATGCGGATTTAAACGGATTACTAAATTTATTTTAGTTTGATAATCGTCCTAAGGATAATAGTCACCTTGGGCTACATTTAAGTGCAAAAATCTTTTCAGTTTTTTCAAATAAAACCTTGCCAAATCGACTATCTACGCGTTCATCATTTTTTGGCGCTGTTTTCGCAAAAAAGCAAACTTTTTGAGCACTTTTTGGAAATCATGGCGCGCGGAGTTACTTGTCAGGCAAATCATAACTTTGCAAAAAGTCGAATTAGCGACCCAGTTTTGCTTGCCAAAAGGCGCGTGGACCCGTTTGACGTGCAAATTTTGAGGGACCCGCTTATCGAACCGGCTCGTCCTTGTGCATGGTGGGCCTACACGCTGGCACGGTATGTTATGCAAAGTTGCAGCCCAATAGCTTAGTTGCAGCTTCTTCTACGAGTTTCGTGACAGACAGATTTTCACTCAGACAGATAGTTGCACTATAATAATTATCACATCTAAAATTAAAAGCGGATCACTGCGCTTGAAGTTTGTAATCTGGAATTTTGCAAGGCCGTTTCTTCCACGTTGAATGTTCATTCAAACTTTTTCTTTGTCTAATAAAATTTTCAAAGTGTTGCACTTATTCAAGCTTAATGAGGCGTAACAAAATGAGGTAAACAAGTAGAGACGCCTATCAGCACACTAAACGATGACAATGCGCACATACCTGATTACTTACGGAGGCGGCTGTTTCATCACCAGAACGAACGGCGACATCCTCCTGTAAAACTAATCAGTAGAAAACGTTTTTAAAATATTAGTAGTTCCATGGCATACATGAGTTCTTAGGGGGATGGCAATTTTTGCGAAAGATTTGCCGACATGATACCCGCCTTGCTAGTAATCCCGTAAATGCGTTACGAACTCCTGACCGATCTGTTTCCCATAGAAGTACGGAAAAGAGAACAATGTCGCGTTTCAATGATCCAGCAAATACATATCGAAAGCGAAAAAAGGGGAATTGGCCGCTCATCGCTTCTACTTTTGCTTCCGTCTACAATTGAGATTTGTATGAGTATAGTATAGTATGCTTTTATATAAGAATGATCTTCGCATTTTATTCTGGCAGCAACACAGGTTCTATCCTAGAATACTTCGTGCGGCAATTCGGAAAAGTCAGACACTTTTTTCCAGCGCAATCTGAATTTGTGCTGCTGTACCCCAAAGGTCTCTGGGCATTATACTTGAGTCCGAATCAAATAAAAATTCGATCATTCGAATAAAACATTTGAAGTATTTGCATTCGAAATTAAATGTTCGGAATTTTCCATTTTCGAATAAAATTCGAAACTTGAGCAATCAAAAAGCGGAGCTTCAAATAAAATTCGAAACTCGAATAATCAAAAAAAACAAGGATTTGAATAAAATTCGAAAACTCGAATAATCAAAGAAAGAGATTTTGAATAGATTTTATTCGAATGTTTTATGCGAATATTTTATTCGAATTCGTATTCGAATGAAATTCTGTTCTAATTATTCGAGTTTGTCGCAGAGCAACTGCTGAGTATCAAACTCGCTTCGTCTGCGTTTTTTTTTCGCAAACACGATAGCATTTTTTGCAGCCGTGATCACCTTTGAATTGTATGGAAACCCGCATTCCACCATCTGCTTGCGATAGTAAAAAAAAAGTAGATGTGGATATTGACTGATTGCTGACAAGTGACATTTTGCACTGCTATTGCCACCAAATCACAAAAAACAGCTAGTGTGTTGACATGTTTTCTCTTCCCTTGCGTTGCTCATGCTTTTAATCCGCAAAGGTCCACACTAGTGAGCGCTCTTGTGTAAAACTCATGTTGCACAACTGCCTCTCTTTTTTATCTTATTGTTAGAAATTTTTCGCCAATGACGGTGTAAGTAAAGAAATTGCAGCTGCAGCGGGAGGAATAGAAGGTTGCTAAACTTTGCAGTTATATTAGGTCGTTCCGAAAGTTCTCCGTTTTTTAACCTATCAGAAAAAACTTGTACAACAAAGACAGGCAAAGTCCCAACTACTGTCCGACGCAGCTTTTCTTCCTCTTTTTAGCAGTCATGTTCTTGTGCTTGTTACTCTTGTGGTTACTGGAATAATTGTCGAAATTCGAGCCCATAGTTTTGATCATGTTCGAACTTCGTAATTTTTCAGAGTCTTCCTTCTAAACTTTTGAAAAAGCTTTGATAGCAGTCACATAGCGTAAACAAAGTGCAGTGCAGTGAGATTTTTGGCATCTATAGCTGGCTTTCAAAATCTTTTTAGCTACACTCCTGATGCTATCAAATTCAACATTTGGTCATCCCAAAAGTCACAGAACATCAAACGAAGCACAACTTAGGTGTCATTCGATGCACCTTTCTTTTCCCCTTTTTGATAAATGCGTTTTTTCTTCCCAATTCGGTATTTGGTGATGAAATTGTCAAAATCCCTGATTTTGAACCCGCCTCATGCTGTACTTATTGAATGCGAGGTTTGATATTTTGAAACGACAAACGCTCTAGTCCTTTGTAAAGTTAGTGTGTTATCATAATCTATCTTTGCAAGTTTCAAATTCCGACGATTTCCTAGCGTTTGGACCGTTTGTGTATTAGATCGGTGCAAAAGTTTTGTCAGTTTCTGAAATGACCCGCGAATCCCGAATAGTAGAGATAAACAAATATTTCAAGTTGTATCCGATGCAGGATTTCTTTCTCTTTCCAGCTGCTTTTTCTCCAGTGTGATCGGTTGAGAGAGCGCTGACCTTTCGTTTTCATTATGTCCAACTTTCGTTAAATTTAATATTTTTTGTTTAAAACTTTTGGGATAGCTTTAATAGCCAGCAGATAGGGCAAACCTTCTCCCAAACAAAGCAATTTTTTTCTTTTTTAGCTATTCTTCTAAGATTTTCAAAAATAATTTTTCAAAAGTCTTGAGTTTTGGAAAAATCATGACCTATCATTGCACTAAACACTGCAAAATCTTCAAATCAATGAGGTTATAAGACTCGATTATGACTATTACTGAGCTTACAAAGTAAATGAGCAAATTTCGCTCCAAAATATGGAGATTTTGAAACTTAGGATTTGTCAGTGCGCACTCGTGTAATAGAGAAATACTGCTATTTTCCGCGTAAATATCGCATGTCTTGCCAGGAAAAGGAAACTGTTCAAAAGAGAAGAAAAAGATCATCGAATCGTACCTGAACTGTTTGTCACTTCACGTTCTACAACGTGAGAATAAGCGGAACATATTGTAACAATTCTGGAATACAGGCCACAGAAGTGCAAGAAATTGGTTCAGTTGGCAAAAGGTTTCTTTAACTGCTAGTTACTAAAGTTCCCCCAGAAGTCTCAAACAAAAATTTTGCAAATTAGCGAAATTTGGACATGGCGAACGAAGGGTTGTAATTTCCAGCTGTTATCTCAGCACTATCTCAATGAACCACATTGCATATAGGGCACCTGAAAAAAAGAAGGAATTATCGGATACAAATGGAAAATTTGTTTATTTTCACTGTATGGGATTTGCGGGTCATTTCAAAAAACTGACAAAACTTTTGCACCGACCCAAAATTTTGCGCGAAAATGAAGAGTTTTGGCAAAGTTATCCTAAAAAATTCCAAGAAGCTAATTGAGGATGCCGAGAAATTACATTGCATTACACTTTGTTTACGCTATCTGAATGATATCAAAGCTTTTCCAGAAGTCTGAAAGGAAGATTTTGAAAATAATCAAAGTTGGGAATGGTACAAACCACTGGTTCGAAATTTTGGCAATTATCTTATTGTTAGAAACCACCGAAGTGAATGGTCCGAAAACATGACTGTTTTGAACAGGAAGAAAAACTGCGCCTGATTTTGCTTAGAGCGTTTGCCAGCCTTTATTCCATGCGTTTTTATGACAGATTGAAAAAACGGAAAGAACCTTCGAAACGACTAAAGTTTTGTTCAGTAGATGATACATAAGAGTTTTGTTCACAGTGCACTCGAAATTTTTGAGACTCGCAAGCATTTCAAAATCGGGCGCTATCGGCCTATCAATTGTGGTAAACCGATAGATACGAGCTTTAGTTATGACAGGCCCGCATATACTTCACGGTCGCGACTTGCCAGTTACCAGATGTCTTTAAATGTCACGTCAGCTTACCACAGATGTATAGCGTGAAACTTTCTACATAGATGAAGGCCCTGCTTCCTGTACTTTTACAATGCGCCTCGCCCGAGTCGCTGTAGACTGAACGCCAGCGAGCGTGCCTGCAACGCGGCTGCCGTGTACAGGCGCTATGATGGCTCATGCGCGCGAATGCCAATGTTAGCCCGCCAGAGACACGCGCGCGGGCGTTCAATCCGGGCGGTTCTGTGCAGTCAACTATACTAGCACTTTCCAAAGCTGGACATCCACGATTTTTTGTTTGAGAAAACATTTATTCTCTAGGTGTTCCATTACTTTTGGATCACCCTAGTATTTTTGTAGCTTTTGGTTTACTGACGCAATGAAGACTTTTCTGAGCCCTGATACGGTTTTTTACGGCATTTATCATCTATGCATTTAGGCCATAGCGAAACGTCAATCAATAGAGACGACACTAGTTTTGTTGTGCAGCTAAATCGTTCTCAAAAGCGATTTTGATACGATTTCGACAGATAATGTAGCTAGAAATATAAACGGCTAAAGCACATACCATCGAGCCATTTCGTCGACATAAGACAATCTCCAAACCTTCGCCTTTTTCACAACATTGTCGAATGATAGACGACGCAATGATATGAGGTTGGCCGACAAGCACGCGTCCGTTGACCTATACGTAACTTTTCTTTGAAAGAGTGATATAGTCGCTACATGACCACTCTACCTCAAGAAGTTCATCTCCAGCTCTTACAGTAAGTGGGCACTGTACCTTTACAGATAAAACAAATGTACTGTTTTTATCGCGATCACGATTTCCAGCAAGAGATATGCCTAAGCCCGCTTCAGGAACTTTTTCACATGATACTAACATCACATCGCCAGGTAGATGTCCGTATTTTCGTTGAATCTTTTCTAAATTATGGGGTGGACTGCTCAAATGCAAAGCTACAAACAAGCTATGCGAATCTCACTGCTAGTGTAACCGAATCTTGTTTCTGATTCGGGATCTTCGGCGTCCTTTGATAGATCTGCCGCGCTGAAGGCTACTGTCGCCGCATTTGATGCTGTGGATGGAGGATACTAAAAGAATGAATTAAGTAGAAGGCATTGCATGCAGCAAAACAGTTACCCATGTAAGTATCAACTAACTTGGGCACATGAGGTACTTGGTTCTTCATCATGCGCTTCCGAGCTGGATACATCCGAAACAATCAATGGTCCTGACTGAAAGAAGAGAACTCATGTAGGACATTTCTATTAGATTTGAAGGCGATAGAACTGCTTTGAGATTCGTGCAATCACACGGTGTGAAAAGCACCGTCCACTCAAATTACGGTGAGATGATGTATGATAATAGGCCCCTAAGCGGTCGCCCAAATCTCGCCGCAAAAGGTGAGTTTTGATATGAGAAAATCTCTCCAGGTAGAAGCGGTTCGGCTGACTCCGCCCATCAGTATGGGTGGTCTAAGGATCTGAACTCCAGAACCGGGCTTTAATATACAGGGCTCCTAAATTGCAGAGTCGTTTGCACCAGCGGTCGCGCGACCGCGTAGCGCCCGGGCATTTTGGCGGCGCCGGCGCCATCGATCAAGGCGGCGCCATTGATGCCCGGGCGCGACGCGGTCGCGCGACCGCTGGTGCAAACGACTCTGCAATTTAGGAGCCCTGTACCTAGAGTGGCCATAAATCCTTCACTATGATTACCAATTTTTGACATCTCTATCTAAACTAAAGTCCGCTTTTGTTATTTTCTTTAGACCACCCATGGTGACAGGCGGAGCCAGCTGAGCCGCCTCTACCTTCTGGAGAATCCTCGCCTCAGAATTCATCTTTTGCAACGTGATTTGGGCTATTGCTTGGTTAGAGGCCCCGTTATGACACAGCATCAGAATCTCATCAACTTTGATTTTGGGGGGGGGTGCCTTTAAGGCACGGCCCGGCACGAGGTGGGCAAATGACAAGCTGGAAATCGTTTTGGGACCAAAAAGCAAAGGGGATATCATTTTTGCGGGATCCGGGGCGGAACCCCGGAAGAAGATTCCAAGTGCAAGCAAAAGAAGGTCGAATCATGCTTACCTTATACATCTAATTCATCGGAAAATAGTTTTCATAAACCTCAACGCACAGCAGACTTCGCGCGCACTACGCCGCGTTGCCGCTAATTGCCGCGTGCGCGACGTCGCATGAGCGATGCCATAGAACAGCATGATTACACGATCAGTCAATGCAGGCGTAATGTTATAGCACCAAATTACGTAGGCGAACAAAGAGAGGCTAGTAGAAACAAAGCATGAAATGTTATGAAAAACTTATGTGAATGAGGTGTAATAAGAATTTTTTCCAAAAAAATTCGCAAAATTGGTAAATGAAGATGTGAATTCAAATGGTTCGTTTGCAGCGCACAGATGACCATACGGTATGAAACTAGGTAGGTAGATGAACACGGGCCTGTAGGGCTTATCTTAGAAGTTTCATTGAAAAATTATGTGAATGAAGGTTGTGGCAAGCTTTTTTCTGAAAATTTCCCACTATCAAGAAAATGGAAAAATGGCTCGTTTGCAGCGCAGAGAAAACGAAATCGCGCGAGACTTGGTGTGTACACGCGCAGTAGGACTAAGGAACAATGTATGAAAAATTATGAAAAGCTTATGTGAATGAAGAGCGTGCTTAACCTTTTTCCAAATTAGGTGGGCAATTGCCCACCTAATGCCCACCTGAGGTGGGCAAAACTTTCAATTCACATAATTTTTCCAAAATTTTTATATAAATCTGTTGTTCACCTAAAGTTTACTATATGGTAAGATTCTAGTCCCTAAACCCCCCCTCTTGTCTTTGTTAGAGCCCAAAATCGCATCAGCAGCCTAGCTTTCTAACAAGGAAAGGATACTTGGTGACCATGGCTCTTTGAAATGAAACGTAACTATTGTATGCATCTTGAAGCGCTCATTGTAAATCTGTTTTCGTTGTCGAAGCGCTCATTGTAAATCTGTTTTCGTTGTCTGCTGTGCGCTCTTCCGAAAGAAGTTATGAACATTTTTTGTCATTAAAATTTGCACTGTTTTTGATGCAGGACTCACCAATATCGTTAAAGTGTTCGCTTACGCACTACAAAAGAACGTACAAATGAAGTAAAGCTTTACGGTAAGTTCAGGAAAACTGTCACCAATAAAACTCCAAAAAGCCTGGATACTGACGGTTTTGACCTCCTAAATCTCGCAAAATCAATATGGAAGAAAGTCCATGACTTCGTTCAGGGAGTCGCACAGCAGATAATGAACATAGATTTAGAATCAGCGTTCCAAGACGCACCTACTGGTATGCATCTCATTGCAAAAGGCCACGGTCACCAAGTATCCTTCCCTCGTAAGATGGAAAGCGCGCCCCCAGTCAATCGATACGCGCGGGAACGGCGTCTCTCAGTCCTATGTCTGCGTTCCTTTGATATTTTTCCATTCCTTCATCATTTCCCTTGCTTATTCTTCTTCCTGTTTTCTATCTTGATACAGGTGAGGAGTAATTAGACGAATTTGAGCATTTTGGGCGCTTTTGAGCGCTATTAGGCGAAGTGTGGCCGGTGCTCTCGTTCCACAAGCACAAAGCGCATTTTTGGCCTCAAGGGGGTATTCGTAAAAACTATTGGGGTCAAAGGGGAATTCGTTTTGGAAACCCCCGTCTGCCCACCTCGTGCCGGGCCCTGCTCTAAGAACATACGCTCTGCTTAAACAGGATCAGCGGCTAGAGGGCGGGGCTGCTTGGGCTCTGCACCTCTTTCGTGAACGTGCTCTCCGATCATTTCCTCGCCACGAGCATGGCGGAGCTTCGTCAGAGAGCACGATCGCGAAGAGGCAGAGCCAGAGGCGAGCGCGCGGACGTGAGCTTCATCCACCACCCGCCAATCCGGCTTAAATCAAAGGTAAGTCTTTTCGTGCAATCACACTCCGGTCCTCAACCCCTTCCTATCTGGTCGATTTCGGCATAAGCAAATTAACTTTTATCTTAATCTTAATTTTTAGGAGGAAAAATGACTCTCAGGCGCAGCGGCTCGAACTACCGTTACAATAACAAAGTGCGAGCAGCGCTCGGCACAGGTGGCTTGCAAGCTGGATATCGTTTTGGGGACGAAAAGCAAAGGGGTTTCGTTTTTGTGGCCTGAAAGACACAAAATTTGCGACGTTTTTTAGTCGACGTTTCGTTTTTTGGAGATTTTTTTTCAGATTTTTAGAGGAAATATGGTTGAGGGTCAAAGGGGACTTCGTAAAAATCCGCAAAAGTCAAGAGGGACTTCGTTTTTTGCATTTTTAACTACCCACCCCGTGCCAATCCCTGAGTGCGAGTATGGAATGCTTTATACTGTGAGCAAGTTGAAGCCATCTCTACACTATATTCAAAGGTTATTACTTCACGGCGAGAGAACTTATGAATGATCGAACAGTGTACACTAGCGACGTGCACAGCCCGTCCCCCATCATGCCTTGAAAATGAGTCGCGATTTATAAGGTAGCCCACGTGAGTTATAATCTTGTGAAAGTAATTTGTTTCTAATTGTTGATAATTGTGAAAGTGTTAATTGTTTCTAATTGTGAAAGTTTTGAGGTTAAAAATCAAACTAGCTATGAAATATTCTTATTTAAAGTATCGTTACCGCCATATCCCTTTTTTGAACGTTTCAGGTTATAAAGCGCAACAGTTCTGAGAGAATGAAAATGTTTGAAAAACGTGGCTGACGCTAGCAATTTGCGCGCGTGACTTGCTTTTTGCAATTTATTTGTTCATTCATAAAACGTGCACCAAAGATGACGTTGTCCCTTGCTGGAATGACCATGTCGTTCTCGTTCTCAAAGAAGTCAGTTAATCCCTGGCGTGATCTATTCTCTTATTGAAACGCAAGCGGAGGAGGCAGGCGCCACCGTGGCTTAGCTGGCCACCTTAACCTTAGGCGGACGAATCCGTCGAAGACCCTGGGCGAGCGCAGAATGGTGATTTCTAGAAAAAGGCTCACTGCTTTTCGATCTCTTCAAGCGGCTATCCCAAACAAGAGACATTTTGAACCCTTCTAGAAACTAGTGATAATAAAGTCAAACGAGTGATGCGAAATATCAGTTAAGTCTGTAAAATATTTAGTTATGAGGTTGACTCGACAAGCCGACTCAGTCCTGAAACTGTGGTATAGCGCCGATAAAATCGACCAGTAGTTGCGTACAAATGCTAATTTTGAAAAATCAAAAAATCAGCTTAGCTTTCTAGCACATCGAAAAATTTGCGTACCTCCCGAAATGATTTTCGCAGGAGAGTTGCAGCCTATGGAAGTGCCAGGCACGCCACAAAAACAGATTTTGAATGCACTGTTGATCTGCGGAAATAGGCAAGCCAAGTTCCCGGCATCCTCACAATTCTACTACAGGCGATTCGTCAGAGCAAAGAGTGGGCGCAGCTGAGTCCGACTAGGATAGTTCGCGCACGGGAGAGGCAGCAGACGGCAGAAGGTATGAAAGAGCGCTCGATTGACGAGACGTTAATAGCGTCCGTAGTGACGCCCTGTCTTTGTGTGTAATGAATGGCCTATGTATCTTATATATATAGAGCTGAATGTCTGTTTGTATGTATGTCTGTCTGTATGTCTGTCTGTACGTATGTTCTGACTAGAAAATTCCATTTCAGAACCGATCCGGACCAAATTTTGCACACATACACTTCGGGCCCTGGCGGGTGTCACAGGCTACTTTTCGTCATCGATCGATATCGATTTTATCGATTTTTATCGGCTTTTTTGCAGGGTTCAACTAAGGGCCTGGGAGTTGGCACAAGGGGGTAATCGAGCATGGGGATTCCGAATACAATATTAGTTTTTGAAATTATCCGCTACTTCTATCGATTTTATCGATTTTTTGCGAAGTTTGAGTTACGGAGCTGGAGGTTGGTGAGGAAGGTAGGTGAGCATACTGATTACTAACACAGCGGGAATAGGGAATTTCAAGTGCACAGGGAAAGGTTGCACAAGGGTAGGAATGGAACCTTTATCGTTTTGACAGAACCGGGCGGAGCCGGGTAAGCCAGCTAGTAGTCTTAAAAAAGCAATGACGAGTGCAACTTCGCAAATCACTTGGAAAAGAAGCGATCACTTTGCCTTCTACGTTAGCCAGCCATCCATGCAATCGGCCATGCTGATTAGATACAAATTTTGCAAGCAAAAGTATTACTGTACCTCTTTCCTGTAGTCTTCACTCCTCAACGAGTCTCTCTTCGGCATGCTATCGTCTTTTGCAATCGACGCTCTGCCGCTCTGCTTTTCGATTTCATTCTTCTCCGGACTTTCTCGCTGCAGCTCGCTCGCCGTGGATCCTATAGACTTCTTGCTAGGGCTTACATTCTGTTCACTTTTCTGACTACTGGACTGGCTTCGCTGCTCATCGACGCTTTGGCGTGAAGAAACGCTCCCCCGTTCTACTGCCTCTTCGATTTTCTTCAACTGAAAGTGTTCGTCCACTTTTTCTTCAATAATCGCTGCTACGAATTCGGCATTTGGCGATTGTACAGGTGCGGGTGTCGACGTCATCTCCAGATTGTTATTGGGAGGAGCCTCTTCTACTTTTGCAGAATCTGCTGGTGCGGAGCCAATTGTGGAATTGGAAGGTGAGCTGACCATTTGCTAAAGTTTTTCAATATAAAAATAGAGAATTGAGAGAAACCAAAAAACTAGAAAGGGACCTGCTGTGGAGTGAAACTATGAAGAGACTGCAGAACGAAACGAACAGGATTTGAAGCGTTTTTAATGGCATTCACGGCTTGCTCATGTGTTGCTTCTCTCAAGTCGATGTCATTGACCTCAAATAATAAATGGAATATGCTTGAATAGATACTGGCTCTGTCAGGTATTCGGCGACCTAACACCCCCCCCCCCTCAAATATTCTGCACAAAAAACAATGGTTAAACAATGTATGTGCTAGAGGCTAAGGGGGTTTGAGTCATGACATTAAAGGCAGTGGATCGGCAAGATGAACCCTTGCCAGATTTTGGTAGTGTTAGGTAATACACCTCCCAAACACCGTAGCCCCAACCTCACCCTCGACTTCATTTAAAGTCCTGTAAAGAAGCTTCATAACTCCACAGCCCCGCCCACTTCCATTAAGTGGGCGTTACCGATAAAGTTTTGAAGCTCTCTTTCAAGACTTAGCGCATGAGTTGGAGGGCAGAGATGGGCTACGTTGTATTTGGGGGTCTTCTACCTAGAACAACCAAAATCTGACAAGGGTTCATCTTGCCGATTCATTGCCTCTAAAACGACAACAGTGTGCAACAAAAAGGGAGCAAAAGAAAACGGTGATCGTCATTAATGGAAATACTATAATGATGAGAGGGTTATAGCCGAAATGATGCTGTCCAAAGCCTTTAAAAGTTGAGAATTTTAGCTTTTAATGTTCATTTACGTTTAGCAATACCAAGATTCCTGGCGCTATCTATAAAAAATAAAATTTAGGTGAATATTGTTACAATAAGAAATCGGAGCGAGTATAGCCTGTGAGCGCCTCGCTGAAACTTTCAAATGTTTTCTGTAACTCGCATGTTTTGCTTATAGATTTTTTTTACCGTGTATAGGCTGCTCCCCGTCCCTTCTTTCTTGAAGGCAGCGTCCAGGCAGATCTGGACCTATGGGGGTTTTATGTGGAAAGTACTTTTGGGGCCCTAACTAAGGTATTGCCAAGCGGCAGCTCAGGTAGTGCTCTAATGGCTGAGATATTCCCCTTGAAACTGGCCCCCGCGAACGTATCCGCAAGGATTCATGGCAGTTTCGCGCCAGGATGCACGCTTCGCGCCATGAATCCATGCGAAACACGGTCGCGGGGTCCAGTTTCGAGGGGAATATCTCAGCCATTACAGCACTACCTGAGCTGCCGCTTGAGCAGTACCTTTGTTGGAGTCCCAAAAGTACTTTCCACGTAAAAGCCCCATAGGTCCAGATCTGCCTGGACGCTGCCTTTAAGTTGCTGTCAACAATGTTCGCACAATTTTCTTCAAAGCAAGCTGCTTGGAACAGCAATCACTGAGGTCCAGCCTTTCAACTTGTAAAAAAAGAAAGAAGGAAGCAGCGGATTGAGAGTCGTCACCGATGACGCTTATTCTCATTCGCTTATTCTCATTTGTTCTATCTTATCGGATCAGAACAACAAGAAATATCAAGCGTTAATGAGATTATAGGAGAGATTTAGAATGGTAATGAGGGTCAATCAAAAGCTGTCATATGACTCTGATGATTCATGATCCCCACAACATGTGTTATTTGGTCTTATCGCTTCGTTCCCATAACATCTAGTGTTATCGCAAAATCCGTATCTCTCAATGGCAGAAGCATACTTGGAGGAAGAGGCGAAAAGCTCAAGGGATCCATAATCCTCTACCACTCCTTCTACATGTAACCCATCTCTTAGATGGCAAACCCAGTAAAAAAAGGAAGCAGCGGATTGAGATCGTCACTAGTAACACTAATTCTCATTCGAGCCCTGCGTTATCGAACCAGAACGACGAGAATTGTCGAAACGCCATGAGATCGTAAGAAAGGTTCGGAATGGTAACGAGAACTAATGAATTGACAGCGGAGACACAGCAATGCCGTACCAGTTTCGCGAAAAAAAAAGACTACAATCGTACTCCGATCAAAAGCTGTCATAACTTTAACGATTCATAGTCTCCAACATAGCATACTTAATGAAAGAGCCAAGGAGCTCAAAGAATCTCCATAATTCTCCACTACCACTCCCTCTACGTATGAACCATTCCCTAGAGGCAAACCTAGGTAAGAAAAGAAGGAAGCAGCGCATTGAGAGTCGTCACTAACGACGCTTATTCTCATCCGAGCTCTGTGTTATCAAACCAGAACGACGAGAAATGTCGAAAACGCTATCTTATATATAAAGCTGAATGTCTGTTTGTATGTATGTATGTATGTCTGTATGTATGTCTGTATGTATGTCTGTACGTATGTTCCGAATAGAAAATTCCATTTCTGAACCGATCAGGACCAAACTTGGCACACATACACTACGGGCCCCGGCGGGTGTCATAGGCTACTTTTCGTCATCGATAGATATCGATTTTATCGATTTTTATCGATTTTTTTGCTGAGTTCACCTACGGGGCTGGGAGTTGGCACAGGGGGGTAATCGAGCATGGGGATTCCGAATACAATATTGGTTTTCAGGATTATCGATTACTTTTATCGATTTTATCGATTTTTTTGCAAAGTTTGAGCTACGGGGCTGGGAGTTTGCACAGGGGGGTAATCGAGCATGCAGATTCCGAATACAATATTGGTTTTCAGGATTATCGATTACTTTTATCGATTTTATCGATTTTTTTGCAAAGTTTGAGCTAGGGGGCTGGGAGTTGGCACAGGGGGGTAATCGAGCATGCTGATCACCCCCAAGGGGGGTGATCAGCATGCTCGATTACACCCCCTGCCAAATTACAGCCCCCTAGCTCAAATTTTCAAAAAATCGATAAAATCGATGAAAGTAATGGACGATCTTGAAAACTAATATTGTATTCGTAATCTGCATGCTCGATTACCCCCCTGTGCAAACTCTCAGCCCCGCAGGTCAAACTTTACAAAAAAATCGATAAAATCAATAAAAGTAATCGATAATTCTGAAAACTAATATTGTATTCGGAATCCCCATGCTCACTTCCCCCCTGTGCCAACTCCTAGCCCTGTAGGTGAACTCTGCAAAAAAATCGATAAAAATCGGTAAAATCGACATCGATCGATAACGAAAAGTGGACTGTGACACCCGCCGGGGCCCGAAGTGTATGTGTGCCAAGTTTGGTCCGGATACGGCGGAGCCGGGTAAGCCAGCTAGTGAGGTTATAAGAAAGATTTGGAAGGATGGCAATGATGACCATGAAATAGCTAAACCGCGAAGACGCACAAAGCCCTATGCAAGTTCGCGAACAAAAAAAGACTACAGTCCTATCCCATCGAAAGCTATCATGACTCAGACGATTCGTGATTCCCACAACATATGTTATCTGATCTTATCGCCTCGTTCTCACAACATACCGTTATCGCTGTATATTCTTGAGTTTTGACATGACAGAAGCATATTTGAGAAAAGACTCAAAGGAGCGTCCGGGCAGATATGAAATTGTCACGTACAGGGGCTCCCGCCCTGGTAAACCTCTTGCCCAAGTGGCATTGCGCCACTTTGCTTCTGAAGCGAGCAAACCGCTTCAAAAGTGGCGATCAAAACGCCCTGGCGACCTACGCCCCTCCAATCGATGGCCAGACCCACGACCCATCGATATCCCACCACGACTCTGCGTCTCAACCTCCGCGGCAAGCGTCGATATTCAAAATCAGCAGCTTCTGGAATAGCCCGTTTCCAACACTTTCGTACTCTGCAAGCTGCATTTTCGGAATCAGCGGGGAGAATTAGCCCAGGTAAGCAAAAAAAACTCGTTTGAAATTTTGCCTTTTAAAGGCAGCATCCCGCCAGACTGGGGGTATCTGGCTCTGATAGTAATGTAATAGTAGACCCCCTAACTAGGCAACGACAGAAGTTTGCTGCGCGAAAGGGGGTCTACGAAGTCTACAAATCGCTACCCCGCCCCCTCCCCCAAGTGGCCCGGATCTTACGGTAGGCTCGGGCGAATACGAGATGCATGCAAGGCAGAGACGCAGAGTCGTTGCGGGACCCTGCGCTCATGACTGTGTGCGCTATGCGTGCCCTGGCACTGCCGTTCGAAATCGCTGTGTGGGCAGCGTTCGGGCCTACCGTAAGATCCGGGCCACTTTCGAAACATGATTCATGCTTGGTAGGCCCCCTTTTTCGCTCCGAACTTCAGTCTCGCTTCGGTAGGGGGTCTACTTTAACATCGCCACAAAAACCCGGCACCCATCTTTTTGCCGGGAGCTGCCTTTAAGAAGCTTAAGGGGCCCCTTATGCTTTGCCGAAAAAGCCCGAAAGCGTCCAAAAAACCCAAAGAAGCCCAAAATCGCAAAAAAAAGCCGGAATGCCATTTTTGCGCGCAAGTAATAACTATATATTTTGCTTCATTTTCTGTCGTCTGCACCCAAAGTTATGCCAGAATTCTACCAAGACTTCCAAGCCGGATTAGGAAATACGCAGCCATGAATCTTTGGCGTCAATTAGAAAAAGACATTTTGAACTAGACAAGGAAGACAGGACGAATACGATAATTACGAACAATACACAATAGTTGGGATGCATGAGGAGCTAAAATCATGCAGTTTCCTAAAAACTGCAGTTGCTAAGTTACATTGATACACTGAACTCTGTTTATCCGGCTTGACTTTTGGTAGAATCTGACTTTATTTTGGCGTGCAGACGACAGAAAATGGAGCAAAATACGAACTTATTACATGAGCGTTAGAGGGGGCGTTTTAGCTCTTTCTGGTGCTTTTGGACTTTTTTCAGCGAAGTATGACAAGTCCCTGAGAGATCTTCGCAATCCTCCATCATCACTCCTTTTATACGTAACCCATCACCTAGGGCAGACCCAGGTAACAGAAGGAAAAGGAAAGGATAAATAGTTATGTCTGCATATTACGTCCTGCGTACGTCTATAAACCTTTTGAATAGATATAATAAATAGAGATATGATGCGAATCCCCAAAAAACATCATCCATCACGAGTGAGTGCGAACAAAATACTTTCTCATTTGTTAACTCACCGATATCACTCTATCTCCCATATTCATCATTCCGGACCTCCCAGCGGGGCTATTCGACAGAACACTCTTGATAAATATTCCCGAAACAGTGTTGCCCGTTCCAGGTAGACCACCTTTTTGAGAGACTTCGACACGTCCACCTACTATGGAAATACCTAAAAAATGTGCTTGGCGGGTGATGTGAGCAGATGTATAAGACGTACCAAAAGATTTATTAGGTTCTCGTTGGAGGACAACTGTTCGCGCTTCACCCCAGAATTTTGAGCGAGACACTTGCTTTGCCTAAATGCAAAATTGACTGAATTTGCACGTTTGGATCCGGTGTGCGGACAAAGTTATTTGTTCATAGATTACCTGAGAAAGGTTCTCCGACACCAAGTTTTGCGTACTAATCGCCGGTGTATGTTCCACTTTTGCTTCCACGGCCTCATGCTCGTCATTAGCCCTTTCTGGAGGGCTTGATGGCTGAAATGAACTTTTGAAACTCGCTTTATTCACTCCGACACGCCGTCGCCTCGAACCTTTTTCTAGTGAGAGTATAGTTAGAATCAATATTCGTATTGGATAATTGATTTGGAATATTCGGCTATTCGAATATTCGAATAGACGAAGATTCGAGAAAGTGAGTTTATTCGATTTCGGAATAGTCGAATAGATGGGAAAGATCTTTGTTCAAATATTCATTCGCGCACTTGAAAAAATGGCTTAACTAAATATCACGACTTTCGAGGATACTCGAATACTCGAGAAATTTTGAAAAACAGTTGTTCGAATATTCGAATACTCCAGTAAAAGACAAGTACACATTCGAATTCGAGTTTGAAATGTTTATGCATGTTTCATATGCGGACTTCTTGCACATTTGAATATTCGACGCTATCCAGTTTATTCGATTACTCGAATAGACAAACATTCCATCAAGTTTAGTTACTCGAATATCGTAATTTCGAATTTTGGAATGTGCCCACAAATAATTAAATTTGAATATTATGAAAATTGAATCGAATAATACAGTGCTGGACATAATTATAAAGCCACTCTTGGTGCAAAAGTTTTGTCAGTTTCTTCAATCCGTTGGCAAGCACGCTAGAATGAAGATAAACAAACACATCAAGAAGTATCCGATGCAAAATTTCTTCCTCTTTCCAGCTGCTAAACTATCGTTGTGTTTTGTTGAGAGAATGACGAGATATTTGCCGGAAATTACAACTGCTCGTTTTTACTATGTCCAACTTTCACTAATTTTCAAAATTTTTGTATGAGATTTTCGGAGGAACCCTAATAACCACCAGACAGGACAAACCTTTTGCCAACAGAAGCAATTTTTTGTAGCCCTACGCCTTATCTTTTAGATCTTCTACGAAATTTATGGGGAAAATCGCAGTATTTCTCAATTTCATGAGTGCGCACTGACGTGACCTATGTTTCAAAATCTTCATAATTTAAAGCGAAAATCGCTCATTTACTTTGTAATGGCAGCGGTAGTAATAATCGTGTGTTGAAACCTCAGTATTCTGTAGGTTTTGCAGTGTTTGATACAATGAAAAATTATGCGATTTTTCCAAAACACAAGACTTTCAGAAAATTACTTAGCAAATTCCTGAAAAAGCAGCTAAAAAAAGAAAAAATTACTACTGTTGGCAAAAGGTTTGCCCTATCTGGTGGTTATTAGGGCTCCTCCGAAAATCCCATACAAAAATTTTGAAAATTAGTGAAAGTTGGACATAGTAAAAACGAGTAGTTGTAATTTCCGGTAAATATCTCGTCATTCTCTCAGCGAAACACAGCGAGAGTTTAGCAGCTGGAAAGGGAAAAAAATTTTGCATCAGATACTTCTTGAAGTGTTTGTTTATCTTCATTCTAGCGTGCTTGCCAATGGATTGAAAAAATTGACAAAACTTTTGCACCAAGAGTGGCTTTATAATTATGTCCAGCACTGTATTCATTCGTTCGAAAATTTTCACAAAACAATTTTCGAAATTCGTTCATTCGATGAAAATTTTCATTCGTTACAACCATAGTGAGAATGTATATCGATTCAACGCACGCAGAGACAGGATGCCATTGCGGACTGTTGGCGTCTCTCATATCAAACACACTTCCATGAACCGCCTACTGTCTCTCTTACACAAACTCTTGCTTGAACACAAGGGCGTCGATCATTTTCTTCCATTTTCTTCAATTCACATAAAATAGAATCTGGGTTTTGTAAGGGCTATAAATGAGAAGATTTTGTTGAAAACTATCAGGCAAATTTTCTACTTTCTTAGGATATATGTACTCTGACCCACCAAATGTGTGATCAGCGTGAAAAGAAAAACACCCGTGACGAATGTATGGATGGGGAAAATCAAACTTACAAGGGGATATGCAGATAACGAATGAATACCGAGACAAGAGGCGAGAGTTAGGGAACTTCAAATTTTTCATCATATAAAGGAATATCGATTGAAATCGAAGATGGAAAATATCAAATAAACTCGTATGCTCGCCGTTCGTAAAACCTGGACATTGCGTTATATCTAGGATCTATCGCATAATTATATAGCATGTAATGATCGAAGTTGGCGAGTAACTAATCAGCTCTATATTCGGAAACTGAATTTGAAACGAATTTTGATTAGATCCGAAAATTGTGGTCGTATTCCAGATATTCAAATGGCTATTGCGAATTCGAATAAACACTCAAACAAAGCATTGTATATTATTCATTCAAAAAGCGCTTTTTCCAACTTGAATTTTCAAATTATATTCGAACACGATTTCTAAAAATTAGATTTTTCGCTTTTTATTCAGAAGAATAGCGATTTTTGATATTTGCTCGGCTATGAAATAATTTCGGTTATTACTAACGGTTTGTAGAAATATTGCAGATAAAACCGTACACGAATTCTAGCACTCAAAAACTGCGGAGTATCGTCGTCTCACTAATCGAGCGCTCTTTCGTTTCTTTTACCATCTGTTGTCTATCCCATGCAGGAACTATCTTGGCCGGACGCAACAGCCCAGTTTTTGACTGCCGTAAATTGTTTATATATGTGTACATGTAGAATTTTTAGAAAAAAAACAACATCGCGGAGAACTGGAATATCGGATGTAGAATTGGATTCTCGTCTCTGTTAGTGCGAGGATTATTTTTTTTTTGTTGATGAAATGGTGCAGGAAAGTAACCAGATCATTTCATCAAGACTCCAAAAAAAACGATTTGAAGTTTGATTTGAATTGCACCTTGGTACCTAAACATAAGAATTTCATAATTCCAACCATTAGCATGACCAGGAAGGTCAAATTCAAGCGATATGGAATGTACAAAAAATTCACCTCCACGTGCAATAGCTGGAAAATCTCACATTTGGCTGCAGAAATTCATGAACAACTAGGTCACAAGTCGTGATTCGCCTTTTAGCCAAAGGTGCACTTTGAAATAACAAACAACTCAACTGTGCGTTCACTATACTTTAAAAACGTAATTTAGAAATCGAAGTTAGTTATTTTTCACAAGATTAGCTATAAAAAGACACACTGCTTCTATTAGGGTGTCTCATAATTTTCTCCCGTTTTTACTCTAAACATCAGCATTTCTCGCAGCAATGGAGCACCTACAAAGAATACAAATACATGATCGTACTTCTGTATGTATGAGCCATATAATCACATGCGTGGGAGGAGCTCAGGACGTTTAGGGTCGGAGTTTGCCACTTTACCTCATTCATTTTTTCTTTATTTCTAGCCATGGAAAAATTCGGAAAGCGTGCAATCGAATGTGCGATGTGTTGGGCATATGCTAGAATAAATGGGGAATTTTTAGATACTTTGGGCGGAGATACAATTTTTGACAAAAAATTCGTTTTCGTCTACTATCAGATTTCAGCTTAAAATTTGACATGGGATACGATTTAGGCAGCCTTTTGATAGCCATCTTGTAAAGCTTGCTTTGCCCTGTCGAAAGATTAGTCAAGCCACATCAGATGAAGGAAAGATATGTACAAAAATACGGCAGTTATAGTAAAAACGATTAAAAAAATATGAGACACCCTAATATTACTCATGAAAAAATTTAATAAAAGGATAAGATGGTAGAGGTTTGAAATAGCTCTTCACAAGTAATATGAGGTAATTGACAGCTATTTGGATTTCTATAGAGTTTTGAAGTTGCATGTTAACGTAATTATTTATTAGCCGAACTAACAGTTCGAGTTTTTAAATCTTATCTGAAATCAAAACCTCTTTCCAAATTTACAAAAATATTTATTAGAATGTTTAACCAAATGGCAGATTTTTGCACTCTTGGTAGAGGTCAAAATGTGCAGTGCACGAGCAGATCAGTTGGTAAATCTAATGCCCTTGCGGTGAAGAGAAGTTGCAGTAAAATTAGCAGGTAGCTACGTCTTATTTTTTGGTAATGCGTTCGCAAAATGGCGCGATTAGTGGCATAGCTATTTTCTTCAGGTGCAAATTTCACACAACTTCTCGGCACCGCGAGGGCAATATTAAGAGGAAAATCTACTCGACTATATTTGAGTAGTATATCCGTTTGCTTGAACACACCTCAGGTAATTCTATACCTTCTGCACTTTTGGGTGCAGACTGCGACTTCTCCGATTTCATACTGTTTGGCTTGATGCTCGTTGCTGATTGAGGTCTACTTGAAGGTGATGGTTCGCTTTCCCGACTTTCTACGTTTGATGACGGCGAGGACTGACTTTCTTTATGTAAAACAGTATAGGGAGGACTTCCTTGACGATCGGGGCTACCAAGGGGGGATCCTGAAATTGAAGTGACGTAAATTTACGTAGAAAAACTGTGGACCCTTGAAAAAAATCATTGACCTGATGTTGAGGGCTCAGCGGATTGCACGGGGGTGTGCTGCGGAGTGCTTGGTGTGCCACCATGAGAACTGCTAGGAACCGCAGAAACAATTTTCCTTTCCTGCGTTCGCTCTTTCCAGTCAGGAATGGCGCTGCTTACTACGACCTCAAGCACTGCGTCGCGTAAAGATTCCTGCAACGAGATGCCTATAATAATTTACGGCTTTGCCAATACCTCCCCCCCCCCCCAAAACGGTAACAAATTTCGCAGGAAGGCTACGTCCAAAGCCGCCTGCGCCAGCCGTTGATCCGTCAATGCGAGTGGGTCCACATGGGCGATGGCCCGGCGCTTGAGCACGGAGAACTTTGAAAGCAGCCGAAAGAAAGCTTTATTTCTTAAAGTGAACTTTATTGTAGATTAGGAATCCTTTAAGATTGGAGTCACCGTTCACTCAAACTGGAGATTCTGGGATATTGATGCTGTATATTAGTGGGGCCCCTGACTAGATTGACGCCCAAGTCCCACTGCAAAAGGTGAATTCCGAAGTAAGAAAATCGGTTCAGAAGAGAGAAGCGGTCCAGGTGGCTCCGCCCATCAGAATGGGTGCTTTGAAGATGATTAGCTTGAGTGGGCTTAGCGTAGATAGAATTGTTGAAAATCTGACAGTCATAATGAAGGGCGGATTTATGACAACCACAGATACTTAAAGCCGGATTCTGAATTTTATCTCCAAACCACCCACATTGGTGCGGAACCACCTTGATCGCTTCTGCTTGTAGAGCATTTTCCAAGCATCGGAGTTCAACTCTGCAGCGGGACTTGACCAATTAATCAGTTAGGAGTCACGCTATTATACAAAATCCACATCTCACTAACCTCATTCCAAAGCATGCGAACTTTAGTACATTCCTTTGATGTGAGAACCAAAAACATGTTTTATCGAAGCTCAAACGTCAAAATTCAAACGACAGGTGGATACTCAAAGGAGTGTAAGTATAGAAAATAACGCCTATTGTTACGCAGAGCAGAAGATTTGGTCAAAAAACATGTCTTCTGAATCTCAGAGAGGTTCTGACATATAGAGGACCAGTTTTACACCTTATCGCGTAAGGGGTGTAGGGCGTCATCAAATTACTACTAACACATTCGAATTACATCTGACACATGTGTAACGCTCAAAAATAGAAACTCCAGTCCAGTAAATGCGGTAAAATTTGCGCGTGAACAAACGTCACTTCACTTACTTACCACGATTTGAGCGCGCAAGTAGCCATCGCAGACGTTGCCGCAAGACTTATTGGACTGTGTATTTTGTAATGGATTCTTAATGGTAAAAGCTACCTGAAGCATTTGCTGTACAAAATCGTCCAGCACGGTTTGGTCCATAGATGACTTGGTTTTCTCCACATTTTGCTCCGGCTCTTCCCGTTCCTCTTTCTCCATCTTTTCTGCTTTTTCCCTCACATCGGATACCATCAAATCTTCTTCTTTTGTCGGCGCTTCCGACATTTGCGACGGTGACTGTACGATGGCGAGCTCAGAGGATTCCGATGGCGGTTCCGTATCATCTGCGTCTTTCAGCGACTCCTTTCGTGACATATAAGGACTTCGGTAGAACTTTGGAAAGATTCTACAATGGATGTGTCTTGCATGCATCTAAAACGAAAGGATCCAAACAAACTTCGGTGATAATCGATTGATGACCGGTGATGGTGCTTCACTTTCACGATGAAACCGCTCTTTCCACATTCTAGCATCGGCAGACGTTATGTAAGTAACACTGAAAATAATCAAAGATAGAGCCAGTCTAAAAACTGAAAGGAACGATACTTTTCAACTGCAATGTATGAATTCAAAACCGTTTTCGCATGATATATATTACCTTGGAATGCGAACATGTATCCGTGCCAGCCGGAGTTACCGCATGCCAGCATTGTGTCAGTCGACATGTCTGCATAAACATGCTGGTAAGAACACGCACTTCTATGGGCACAGACACGGCGCTAGCACGACGCTGGCACGGGTGACTCCGGGCGCTGCTTCGACATGTGAATCTCATTTCACTATTGTTCGCTTGACATTTCCAAAGTGCAAAAAAATTAGCTTGGCAATGACGAACTTGCACTGAGTGCCTATTAGATTTGTTCGACGAAGAATTGCACGAGCTTGCGATGAGGTGACATTTCGAAGGCTCTCCTGATTTATTCGCACAACGTAGTCGCCGACCTGCAAAGAAGCTCAGAACTTGTACGAAACTCCTCAGAGGTACCGTCCGCCAAGATTCAGGATTGATACTGGTGATAACGGAGCCCCCAATTATGTGGTCGCTCTTCCGCTGCAAAAGATCAACTCCGAAGCGAGACAAACGCTCCAGAAAGTGGAAGAGCGGCAGGCGGCTTCGCCATCAGCGTGGGTGGTCAGAAGATAATGAGCTCGAAAGAGGCCTTAAGGTAGATAGAAATGTCGAAAATCTGACAGTCATAATGAATTGCGGATTCATGACAACCTTAGATACTTGAAGCTCGATTTTGAATTTTATCTCCAAACCATCCACGCTGGCGGAACCATCTTGGCCCCTTCTACTTGTTGAGCATTTTTTACTCATCGGAATTCATCCTCTGCAGCGGAACTTGAGCAGTTACTTAAAGGCAGCGTACACCCAAAATTAAAGTTGCCTAATTTTCTAGATTTTCTACACCGTGTATATACTAGGCCCAGAAGAAGACCAACTGCGTTGGTCCGGTCTCTCAATGTTGCTTCTGAGCGGAGAAAACCCCCTTCAATTTTCTTTCACGCCGCCCCTTTTCTTTCGCTCCGCCTCCTCCGAACGAATCCATAACAGCGTAAGCTGCAATTGCAGTTGCAGTTGCTGTTGCAACACCTGTTGCATTTGTTTTGGGTGTACGCTGCCTTTAAGTAGAGTCTCTGCTATCACAGGGTTAAGCTGGTATGGCGCCACACTTGGGGAGTCGTATGGAGGGTTCAGGGAGGAAGGGGTCGTTATCGAGGTGATACTAATGTTAGAGATAACATGATATTCGTTAACAATGTCAGAAAGGCCTATTATGCAAAATACTAATTGATGTTTCGGCCTAGCATCTATACGGACAATAAGCAAAATAAAAGAAGCACAAGGGCATCATTTTCGTAATTAGCATGTCAAATAACCCCTATGGGCCATGTCTGATTGAATTCTTGTTTTCAGATATTGGGCCACCCAAGTGAGATGGGCATTTCGAACATGTTAATTTTGTCAAAGGTGAGTTTACTGCTTCTTTTTCTACTTAATACAAAGAACCACCACTTTGCTCACATTAGGAATACCCCTCCAAATAACCTCTAAACTATGGAATTAAGAGTAAGCCAAAATCACGCTTGTCCACTTTTTTATTTTCAGTATCTCAAACCAGAAAAGACCAATCAAGCTCCAATTATAATACTTTTGTGAAAGTTTTATTCTTGTGACCTTCCCTTGCGATTCAGGTAGTAGCGCAGAATTAGAATGCTACCGTATTCCAATATTTTCGCAGTATTCCCCATTTGTACATGTAAAGAAAAACGACTATTACTTCCCCCAGAAAGAACGGTTTTGAATGAAATTCCTGCCGTGTAGAGAAGAAGGTTTGACAGTGGCGATAATTTAAAAAACGCAAATATTTGATTGCTTTAAAGGTAAGTTAATGGGGTGTAGCACAACCCCAAAAAAGCTGTGACACCTACAGCTTTTCTGAGATTGTGCCACACCCTATTAACTATATCATGATAACTTTTTTTGAGGGAACAGTACATACATCAATGGATAGAATAAATTTCGTAGTTTCCATAAAGTGATCTGAGGCTGATTTCTCTTTTTTGAGCTGTGGGACACTTGGTAAAAGCATAGACATGAAAAGCGAAATGGGTAAACGAGATTTTGGCTTGTTTCTAATTCCACAAATTGGAGGTCTTTTGAAGCGGGATTTCTGAGGAAGAAGGAGTAGTGCTTTGTATTGAGTGCAAAAAGAAATAGCTAACTCACCTTTGAAACTAAGTTAATCATGTTCGAAAATGACAGTTTCATTCGAATGGCCTCATATTTGGAAACCCCAAAATTGGTTCAAACTTAGTCCACAGGGGTTATTTGTTAAACATGAACATATCACTCGTTATGCTTGGTAGTGCCTCTATGTTATGCCTAGTTTAGGGGTCTTATTAACAGCGCTTAGAGGGTGGGGGGTCGTATCTAGCGATCGTGCGCCACATCTCTTGCTTGACCATGTTTATCGTATAGCATCAAGATCTCACCATCTTCATTCTAAGTGGACGGTGCCTTTAGCTGTGGTTTTTCACAATTTTTTGAGTTTTAGAAATTCCTCACCTGTATGCGTCCATCTAAAGCAATCGCTTTCTTACTGCAGATGCTCTTCACAGCAGCCCCGTTCACACCTTTGTCCTTGTCGGCGTCCAAAACGATACCTAAATCAAATAATCATCAACAAATACCAGAGCTAAATACTGGAGAACAAACCTAGTGGGAGAGCTCCTTTAGTGATTTTAATACTTCGCTCCAAATGCGTCGGTAGATAAACAACATCGTACGCCCAAGAGCCTCGTAATGATAATGGTGAACCCGCCGGCGATAGTGATCGAGTTGAGCAGGGAGACCACGAAGTCATCGAGGTGTCCGACTGAAATGGTGAAAATGTGAAAAATTAAAAAAGTCCAAACTTAAAGATGTCTGTACACTTACTACTCAGACAATCAGAGGCTCTCAGCGGGCAGCCACAAAGCCACCGCCAAACCCCACCAGAACGCGATGCCTTGTTGCCGCCACTTTCGCTTCGCGCAAGACTTTATAGCAGCCCGCTCGCTGCCAGTTCTAGCAAGATTCTCAGGGGAGCGACAGTAAGGCGATAAGGCATGGTGCTTTCGATGGGGCTTTATGGCTGTTCGCTGACAGCTGATTGTCTGAGTAGGGAATTATGCCATCCGACGAAATTTTTTGGCTCCTTTTCGGTTTCCATTTCTAGCGATAGATGAAAGAATGAAAAGGAAAAAATAAAAAAGAAGGACATACACCGTCGAGACTTCGATCACTTCGCGAGTGAGATGGGCTTCTTGAAGGATAGTAGCTCTAAAAATAAAAATCATGCATGCGAAAATGCACAAAGTACAGAATAGCATGTGTCCATTAGCAGACCTTCCAAACTTGCGGGTAAATCCAAAAAACCATGCAAAGTTAAACGCGCAGAATGCGCAAATCGAGCCGTTCTTCGTGGGAAGGAGTTCGTAATCGAGATGATATTTTAGCGATAACATGAACTTTGTTGACAATTTCGGATGAGCCCATCATGCAAAAAACGAGCAACTGAGATGACTTGTCGTCTTATGCGTCAGGTATGCACATAAAGCTGCTCTATTGGCACCGTCCCAAATTGAGGATTCTGAGATTTTCGAGCTGATAACAGCAGTGACCCTAACTAAGTAATCGCCCAACTCCAGTTGAGCATGACGAATTCCGAAGCGAGAAAACCGCTCTAGAAGGTAGAATCTGTCACGCTGGCTCCGCCCATCAACGTGGGGTCTGAAGATACAACTTCGAAATTGAGCTTAGGGTGGATAGAAAGATCGTTAATGATCATGATGAAGGGCGGATCTATGACAACTTGGATACATTGAACTCCAAGTTTGTAAATACTATCTTCAGACCACCCAGGTAGATGGCCGGAGCCAGTGTGGCCGCTTCTACATTCTGCAGCGTATTCTCTCTCTCGTGAGATTCATCTTTTGCTGCGAAACTTGGGCGGCTCAATAAGGGGCTCTGCTAACTTATAGCATCAAAATCTCATCATCCTTTTTGGAAGACGGTGCCTTCAGGCATGATACTAATTCAGCGTTAATATAGGACGTACCTGCGGATGCAGCCTACGATACTGATCAGCTCCAATCCAGACGGTCTCTTGACTGGATGTGGTCACCGAAGGCGTCTGAAAAAAAACATTATTATACAGCAAGCGCACCAACTTAGCAACCAACTTTGAGAATTCGTTTGGGAACCATATAATTTTGTAAAATACTGTTGTGTAACACTCCACCAATAGGACTGAAGATTTTGAAGGAGAATAATTTTGAAACTGTACTCTATGAGTAAATGTTCGGCTGGAAGAGGGAAATACAGGTGGCCGGTAAGTAGGGCGCTACGTTATGTGATAAATTTTTTTCCCGAAAGTAGCTAATATCCTTGCAGTTACAAACATTTTCTGTACTAAGATATAAAAGGAATGCGCGAGCTGTAGTCTTCAAAAGGAGTCTCCGGAGACTCCGGAGTCTGCATTCACCTCACATGCTCTGCAGGCGGTCAGTGAGCATCATGTTGTTGTGTAAGGTATTTCAATTTGGAAAAGAGAAACTATTGCAGTTACGCTACTATCATAATCCTCAAACTATGCCCTACAAAACCTCATGTCTTGGAACTCATTCGATTCAGAAGCGAATCAGCGCTCACAACGGTTACATCCTACACAGTCAGCATTTTCTGACTCATCAGCTTCAAGACAAGCTGCTAAAGCCTGTATGCATGTGCAAGAGTCCAGCCTTGTAGGAGTAACACAATAAGATATCTACCCTTATAACATGCAGATGCACATTAAAGGGGGAGACATCTTAATGTGTAAAATGCATGTTAGAAGGGGAGACAATATAACGAAACCTCGTTTTCTATGTGAAATTCCACAGACAATTATGTGACGCCCTCAGCCACCCAGCAGAATGAGAAGTTTCACAATATGAGTCCAATTTAGCACTATAACCTTAGAATACAGCGTAATTGCTGGATAAGATGGATAAATTCTGATATGAGTAAACAACCGAAAATGAATTAAGTAACACAAATCATATGTTTTGAATGTCGAAAAAAAAACACCTCCAAACATATGTGGTGATTGAAAAATGAAAAGTATGAGTTATGACAATTTACGAGCCAAAAAATGCCGTCCCCCACAATGGTCGGCCGCCTTATCGTGGCGTGGGGTGACAATCAGTGTCGAACTGCGATAAACAGCCGAGTGTATACTCTGGCAGGGGCTCCCAAGCTGTGTGAAGGACTCCGACGTTTCCGGTTTCGGCCGGATGCCTAGCTAAGAGCCGGCCAGGCCAGATCCCCCGCCGTCTGACTTTCTCTGGTAACTATGCGGTCACTCCCCGTTCCACATCCGCGTCAGCGATCGCCCCGTGGAAATCAAGAGTTGGCCTAGTAAGTCTGCTCTTGTAGGGGAAAAATTTTCAATCGTTCAGCAAAGAGAAGAGAAATAAACCCTGCGCATCAGATCCCGCCTACGGCGCCGGGTGACCTACAACGCCAGGACAGTCTCCACAAACGCCGACCTTCACGCTCTTCTCGACGCTGCAGAGCACATCAAGTACACATCATCGCTCTGCAGGAAACGAAGTTCAGGAAGAAGGACGTGCGACTGATGGGTGATGGGACCCTCATCATTCGTGGTGAAAAGGTTCCATCACGAAACGTTGGAGGCGTCGGTTTTGTCGTCCACCCATCTATCCTCCTGTCGATTCGCATGAGATCTATCACCTCGACTAGCCATCCTTCGACTAAGACCTCCACGTCAGAAGACCATCAGCATCATCAACTGCTACTCACCAACATCAGCAGCTGATGACTCAGAACTAGATGCTTTCTACGAAGACGTGGAGCAGGTCGTCCGCAACGAGAAGTCCTTTTACATGTTCGTTGTGAGCGACTTCAACGCGAAGATAGGAATGCCATTAGAAAAGGAAAATAGGATCGGAAGTTTGGATATGGGCTCCGAAATGAAAACGGCAACCGTCTCGTTGGGCCTCTCTCCGCCGCACGACTTTTCCATGAAAATTCTATCTTGGTGAAAAAAAAAACATCGCCGGTGGGCATAGGAATTGCCCAACAGAACAAATCGTGCAGAGATCGACCACCTCACCAACCGAAAGTTTGCTTCATCTCAATAGTTTCATCCTTCTGCAGTGGCTACGATCATCGCCTCCTTCGAGCGAAGATACGATTCAGTCAAAAGCTGGAAAAGAAGGTCTGCCACAGCGCCGCAAGAATCAAAGAAGTCGTCTATGCGGTAATAGGTTAGAAGAGCTCATATCAAGTTGTGACCAGGAGGACCCAACGTACGACTACGACGGCTTCTGAAAGGATTGCGAGCCTGCGAAGAGTGCGCCTCAGTGACTTCTGAGAAGAACTTGGAACGCATTTCGAAGATCAAGGAATTGCTTGAAAGAAGAAGATTTCTGAGGCAGGATCCGAATGCAACCCATCTCGAGCGACTGATAGCCAACTGATAGTTGCAGAACAGCTTTGCAGGAGGATCTCAGGAAGTACAGGCGAGCTAAGATACTGGAAGCAGCCGAAGGAAGACGAAGTCTCAAGAAGTGCCGAAGGGATCCCTGTGAATATCACGTACTGCTGGCTGCACTCTTTAAAACGGGACTCCGACCTCTTCCCGATACAAGATGGAATCTATTGCGAAGAACTTTTAGAGCAACCTCTTCGCTCATCAAAACCCGTGCAGATGCCCGTTGTTCCCACTGGAGAAGTACCACCAAGGATTCTACCTGCTGAAGTCTGTTGCGATACAGACCATGAAGACGTCCACGCATCCAGATCAGATCTCTTTTTGTCGATCTTCTGCGAGCAGATGACACCATCTACACGAGGTTCTAGCATCGTATTTGACAACTTACCTTCAGAAGGAGAAGATTCCCGACCAGTGAAGAGCATCCAGAACCGTCCTTCTCTTTGAAAAGGGTGAACGGGAGGTGCATGGACCAAATCAGAAGTCTGCCGGGAATACCGACTGCCTCCGTCCTAACCTTCGTCGACTATGAGAAAGTCTTCGACAGCGTCGAAACGAATGCCATTCTGTCAGCGCTAGTCGATCAAGGAGTGGACCCAGCTTACGTGAGGACACTAGCCGACTGCTATAAGAACTGTACAACGACGATGCAGCTATTCCATCGTCCCCTAACCATTCCAGTTGGGAAGGGGGTTCGACAAGACGACACTATTTCGCCGAAGCTGTTCACCGCGGCCTCGCAGAGGGTGATGAAGTCACTGGACTGGGACGAGAGAGGCATACGAGTTGGTGGGAGATTCCTGTCCAAAATTCGTTTTGCGGACGACATCGTTCTTTTCTCGAGCAGTATCACCGAAGCAGAGACGATGCTGAAGGAACTTAACGAAGTGGGAAAGAAGATCGGATTTCGATCAATCGGAAGAAGACTCAGTTTATGAGGAACGCCCTTGGCAAAGTTGCGGAATGGGAACTGGAAGGCACTCCTATTATGGAGACCTTCGCTTATGTGTGTCTCGGACGTTCGATGAACATGGAGAACGACTTGAGGGAAGAACTTAACAACGAGAAGAAGAGCAGCCTGGGCCGCCTCGGGCCTCTGAAGGAAGCCACCGACCAACTGACGGACCCGGAGCTTCGTGCCCGCCTGTTCGACTCAACTTCTCCCGGCGCTCTGTTAAGCAGCTGAGTCTTGCGCCGACACTGCAGCCACGTCGAAAGCTTTACGGACCACCCACAGAGCGCTCGAGCGCAGTCTTCTGAAGATGACCCGAAACAAGCAACATCTAGTCGAACTTTGCACAGAAATGAGAAGAATGTCCCGCCTTCATGACCCAGCGGAATACGTTGCGAAAGCGAAACGCCGATGGGCCGGTCAGATCATGAGAAGAACAGACGACATATGGGCATTAAGAACATCTGAGTGGAGTCCTCGCGAAGCCAAACGTCCCCGAGGAAGACCACCAACGAGATGGGCAGACGTGTTCGTGGAAAGGATGGACCAGCTGAGAAATCAGCTGGATACGATTATCGCACCTTGAACTCGTGGAGCAGCCGCCGACTGCAACCAAAAAGATTGTGGATATCTGAAGCGAGGGACAGGGACAAATGGAAACTCTTGCGCTGGAGTCCGCACGCCTTCGAAGACGGGCCATCTGATAAGTATCTAAGTAAGTAAAAAAGTCGTAATGACGTGTTGCAACCAGATAGATGGATAACTAGTTTGGAGGGCGTGCAGGATCCTTCAAGGCTCCCGCTTCTTCTGTAGGCGCGCCCTTGGAAGGTGATATTGACTTCGCGCTTACCTCGCACCTACGTCGAACCTATCTCGCACCTTCCCGCATTAGTTCCCCTCCGGATAATGCCTTGTTCTCTTGGCATAGTTAGAAAGGACAGCACATAAGCGACGATTAAATGACTCCAAGAAAAAAAATTATGAAAATGTTGTAAAAGAAAGTGCTTCCGATCGTGTTCATTGAAGGTGTGGTAGGTAAGAGTAGGGTAAAAGCTGATCATGTTTTCTTAAAGGCGACAGCTTAAAGGCAGTGGATCGGCAAAATGGACCATCTTTCGAAAGTGTTAGGTAGTAAACCCTTCAAGTACACCGTAGCCCGACCCCACCCTCCAAATCATGCGCTAAGTCCTGTAAAGAACCTCCAGAACTTCACCACCCCCGCCCACTTCCACTGAGTGGGCGATTGGTGGAAATTTGAAACGGCTTTTCGGGACTTAGCGCATGCATTGGAGGATGGGGTTTGGGCTACGGTGTAGTTGGGAGGCCCAATACTTAACACTAGCAAATTCTGACAGGGATCCATTTTGCCGATCCACTATTTTTAGAAACGTATAGCTTTGGAACACAATTTGGAATCATCTTTTTTCGCATCTCAGCTGACCATTTGAATTACGATCAATCCTATGAGCACTGACTCTTCCCTATGGGTTTATTATTCAAAGAATTAGATTTGGAGCAAACTTGCCATCATTATTCTTGTTTGTTCCTTCCTTATTGCTACGTTTTTTCAAATTTCTCTTTTGCGCACGTCTTCTGTGGAAGAAAGTGATTACAGATTCTTCATCCGTATTTTTCATGCGTAATTTTCCAAAGAAGCATCTAAATTGGTTAAACATTCAGTTAG